CAAATTTAGAATTTGTTTATACACATAAATACCAAGTTTGATGAAAATCGGATAATAAATAAGAAAGTTTGCAATGCGCATGCGCACTACGCAAATTTGATAATTCCATCAAATTTAGAATTTGTTTATACACATAAATACCAAGTTTGATGAAAATCGGATAATAAATAAGACAATTGGCAATGCGCATGCGCACTTCGCAAATTCGATAATTCCATCAAATTTAGAATTTGTTTATACACATACATACCAAGTTTGGTGAAAATCGGATAAGAAATAAGAAAGTTGGCAATGCGCATGCGCACTACTCAAATTCGATAATTCCATCAAATTTAGAATTTGATTATACACATACATACCAAGTTTGATGAAAATCGGATAGTAAATAAGAAAGTTGGCAATGCGCATGCGCACACTGCAAATTCGATAATTCCATCAAATTTAGAATTTGATTATACACATACATACCAAGTTTGATGAAAATCGGATAGTAAATAAGAAAGTTGGCAATGCGCATGCGCACTACGCAAATTCGGTAATTCCATCAAATTTAGAATCTAATTATACATATACATACCAAGTTTGATGAAAATCGGATAGTAAATACGAAAGTTGGCAATGCGCATGCGCACTAAGCAAATTCGATAATTCCATCAAATTTAGAATTTGTTTATACACATACATACCAAGTTTGATGAAAATCGGATAGTAAATAAGAAAGTTGGCAATGCGCATGCGCACTACTCAAATTCGATAATTCCATCAAATTTAGAATTTAATTATACACATACATACCAAGTTTGATGAAAATCGGATAAGAAATGAGAAAGTTGGTAAATTAAGTGGAGGTATACCTTCAATATGCTGCCGTGAGCTTAATTTCATACCATAACTGCACAAAGATAATTTTTAAGAAATATAAAAAGCAGGGTATCTTTAAAACAACTTAAAATTTGATTTCTATTGGGGTTGACAGCCAGGTTAATCTAATTAGCCGATTTATCTAATAATAGCCCCATGTTAAGTGAATGGAGTTTTGAATTTGCATGTAAGGTATGCATGTTATATATCTATGGAAAGCTGAGAATCTCTACATTACAAAATCGAAAGAATTATTGCCATATCTCTATTAGGGACCGAGATAGAACACTTTAAAGGCTCAAAATGGTCCATATTTAGACCCCTGTAATATCGGAAATAGGTATCTGACCCCAAAGGTCAAAAGGTCATCAGATAGACAAGGTCACAAATTATCATCACAGTAAATATGAAGGTCATCAAAGGTCAAGGTCATGAGATATACGCCTTCAAACTTTGAAAAAAACAATCCGGTCGTACAAAAAAGGCAAAACCGAAAATCAAAATTATGCTGCCTAAGGATTGTAGACAGACATTAAACGTATCGTTTGACACAAATGTTATGCAAATCGGATGAAAAATGGCCTCTGAATAGCAATTTCTGCAAAATGAGGCAAACCAAAATGGCGGCCAACATGTTACTTCCGGTGCGGATTTTTTTAGTTTAATAAATTTGTATTAAGGCTGGTAATATAATGCATATGTTATTTTTGACATAACTCAATTCCACCGGAAGTGATACCACCGGAAGTACTAACATCGAAACCGGAAGTGATCAAAAAAATTTGAATGTGTACTTTTACGTCTCTATGCTGGCGGTCTACACCACGTAAGTTTCAAGTCAAACCGTCCGACAACAACCGAAATAGTATTTTTCGCTTAATTTCGGCAAAAAAAGGTATGCAACGAATTTTCGAAAATCGAAAATTTTCAACTGCTATCATTTGTCCTTTGTTACAAGAAATACGATGCAGAAAACCCGATCAAAATCGGTTGATAAACACGCCCTCTAGAGTCCATTTTCCGTTGCAATTTTGCATAATGTTGCTCAGAAAATTTTCGTTTTACATTTAAACTGTGATTAGCCACAGGTTACAAAACGCCATGAAGTCCGTTTTCCCGTACCTGTTGACGTTGCCGAGAAAACCGGCCTGCCGTAGACGAAAAAAAAAAAAAAAAAAAAAAATCAATACGAAAACAAAGCAGGTCGTTCGCTTACGAATGCCCTGCAAATAATCAATTTGAATAAAATCCAATGTCTGATTCATCTCCCTTTTATCTTTAATTAAAGATTGTTAGAAGAACTGATTAATAAAGATAACTTGACTCAGTCTTGAAGGAAGCATGAAGCAATAACAAACACATCTTAGATACTAGACTTTCACAAAACACTCATTAAGTGTAATGATAACAAAAAAAATACTCAAAAAATCTTAGTGGGTTTTAACTCAAAATAGCCTAATATGAACTATTATTGTCAATTTGATGAGCTTTTACAGGAAATGAAACTTTACAAATGTCAAATGCTGTCTATGATGTTATCCACACAAAACAATGTTATAGACAAGGTTGTGAATATTACATTAATTCAAGTCAGAGAAAAGTGTACATTTGGCATTTAAGTAATAATTAACAGCTTTCTTTTATCTTCAATTTCCATTTCCTTATCAATCATTGGGACAATCAGATGAAAGTTTTTTTTAAGAGATAGAGAGAAAGAAACATTTTAAACTATGTGTGTCAGTATCACATTACGATGAGAATGAAATTGTACAATAAAAACTACAATGAAGTAGATATAAACTACCATTATACACAGTAATTTCAATCATTATGTTGCCTCTATTACAATTTTTTTACAGTGGTTATTTAACAACTTTATTTTCTCAAGCAATTACAATAGTTGTATAAAAGCGTCAATTTTCAGTTTCTGAATTTACTGATGCCTTCAACTCATACATATTTATGACAGACCTAAATGATGCCTCAATGAAGATGCTTCCGATCTCTTCTGTATTTTGTTCTATATTAACAGAAGATACTTCTCTGTTCTTTGCAACTGTTATATGCTAGTTATTTTTGAAAGATAATTCTATTATTTGACACTGGTCTACAGTTTTGTTTATATGTATTTGTGTATAACTATTTCTGAACTCTCATCCTAAAAGTTAAAGTAAACTTCCCATGTTTTGAACCATATACAAATAGCTTGACTCTTAACCCTTATTTCAGACAAAGACATATTGACAAATGAAAAGAAAAGAAAATGTTTAACAAATATTTGTACCAGTTGAACCTCGTGTTAAAATATTAATCATAGTAGTGATAAAAGACAAGTACAAGCTGGTAATGATAGAAACCTAATTAGACAATATGATAGTTCTAGGTTGTAAGACAACTCTGATGTTTTCAGTCAGGTTTTATATATATGTGGATACAAGAGTAATATAAAAACCCATTCCATCCCGATTAACTATACAATTGGTAGAGTTAGCATCCACATACACCAAAAGTTTTTTCATTTCTTGATCTTATACCTTTATACCCAGTTTTATTAAGATAGTGGACCACGCCCAAAGCGGCATGCGGATGGTAAATATTAAAGATTTTGGGGCAAGGGCAATAACTCTGCTTCTTACGGTCGAAAATAGCTCAAATTCGAACTTGATCTTGGATTTAAGAATATGTCTACACAAACCGAAACCGTTCAAATTTCATTTGATTCCATCAAAAACTCTAGTTTTTAGAGCGTTTACAAGCAAATGTTGACGGACGGACGGACCGACGGACGGACAGGGGTGCCAACAATATACGTCCATATAGAGAGATGTGGGCGTATAAAACTTGATCGAATACTAAGAGCTGTAGCCATTTGAATATTAAACAAAAGATGGGTAAACTAACTGATAAACTTTCCACCTGAACTTTTTTGCTCATACATATATTATATAGAAATAGAAAACTAAAGAAGCATAGGTTGAAATAAAGATAGCTTGCCAGGCAAGGTAATATACGCCTACTGGCAGCTTGATTTTGAATAAAAATATTTAGCAGTACAGTAATAATTACCAGTATGAAATATTCAACCTTCAGTCTTACACTTCTTTTTAACTTTTTGGGGCGATACTGAATAATAGTTTTGTAAAAATCTGTCATTGTGTTGAGTGTTGACGAGCTAAAAATTGAATGCGTTTTCAGGAACATGGGCAATAACTCATTCTAAACATTTTAATGATTTTCGAAAAGGTTAATCTTTGGTTAATAACTAACACTCACACTAAGTTTCAGCAAAATCCATCAAGAATTGTGCCGACGGACTGACATAGGTGACAACAATATACGCCCTCCCATTTCATATGGGCATATAAAAGGAAACTCAAATTAGAACTTTTAATGATTATAAATACACATACCAAATTTGGTTAATAATTGTTAACTCTAACAGGAAGTGTTTAAGAGGAAGTGGATGAATAGACAGACACGGACGTTAATAATATTTGTCTTCTGGGAGATGTGGGCATATATCAAGTGGTGTTCATATTAACTTATATTTAGTTTGTAGGTGTAGAAATGTAGTCTACTTTATATATATATATATATATATGTACTTTAACTATTAAAGAAGAAAGTATTTATTTCTGGTGAATCAATGACTCATTTGAATTCGCAATATATCATCTGTTTAAAATATATTAATGAAAAGTAACAGATATACAAAGAGTTCAGTCATTTTTTTCAAATTTCACTTATTATCATACAATCTAAATACATCTTATTGTCAAGTCAGTTATGATTTGAAGTGTATAACAGAAGTATGAAAACATATCTAATCAACATACAGATCTAGATGTTGCGTTTCATGTTTTGTTTGTTTCACTACGTAAATCATAATGTTATCGGGTGAAAAATTTCATTGGACAGATTTCTTCACATTGCAGATGCTAAACACAGAAATCCATTAAGTCTAATTTTATGTTTTATCATTCAAGACCAGTAAGAAAGTGTCAACAATCAGATGCATTTCAAGGTTGTCAGTACAAAACGTCATCAAAATTTGATAACAATGTTGACTGCAATATGTTTCCACATTTTTTATTGTATGCACATAAACAGATATCTAACAAATGGAAGTTAATACTTACCATATTACGTTGTCGTTGATCTAGATTAACACATTGATCTAAAGGTATACCATGTATAAATTCTGTTGTTAATATTTGTTTAGTTGATAATTCATCTATAACGTCTGGTACATATAACATAGGATCATCTTTTAAATATTCCTTGAATTTTTTACCACATTCTGATTCTCTGATATAGTCTACTTCCCAGGCTAGTTCTCTTTTAGCTACTTTCATTACATTATCTACATACATAGCTACAATAATCAAATATTTCCACTGTTAAAATAGATACATAGCTTCAGATATACAGATAATAAACATAGAAACAGTTAGTTGAACTGACTAACAAAAAACTGTCAACAACGTACTGTGACTATTGCAGTGTAAAGTGTAGAAACATCTAAAAGCTACAAAAATCCATCAAATTTCATGTAAAAATTGCATCTCTCTATACAACCTTCCATTCTTTGTTTTGTCCCTTTAGACTGTACAATATTACTGCTGTCACTATTGCCACGAATTTCAGGGCTTCTGTACAGTCAAAACAATTAGTACAAGCTGAGAAATGAGACAACTTTCTTATTAATTTCCTTACTTATCATATTCTTGGGAAGTTACAAATAAATGTCAAATAATAATATAACAAGTTTTACCTTCTGGGAGAATCTTCCAAACATTCAACACGGCCATCAAATTATTAATATCACTATCAATACTCTGAGCTACACCAGGATACTGAAGTGGATAGCAAAGTCAGGTTATTCATGTCAATAACCATACCTTGAATTTTTCTTTTATTACAGGTTTGCATTTGATTGGATTATAGGCCAACGGATACAACCAATCAGAGCCTTTAACATAAGGACTTAAACAATATGGAAGCACACATAACTACTAGTTTTCCTGCAGCATTGTCATCTCATGATTTGATTTACAAAAAATTGGTCCTAATGAAGTAAGGGTGTAACTATTATTCTATTATATTATGTCATATATAACTAAGAAATATGATGAAATCAAATCCATTTTTTCCTCAAATTAGAATTACCAAAATTAAGTCCGTGAAATATGAGATTTTAGGTTAACAATTGTAAAGAGAAGGGAGATAACTCCAATAAATCTACCTGAATTTTTATTGCTATTTCTCTACCATCATGTAAAATGCCTTTATGTACCTGACCAATAGAAGCTGCTGCAAATGGTTTTTCATCAAATGATTGTAATTTTTCTCTCCAGTTGTATCCTAGTTCTTGATTTAATACTTTCTATAAAATATAAAGTTTTACAATAAATCATCATAATTTCAACTCATTTTTTTTGATGTTTGCCTCTAACTTAAGCAATCCTCCAATTGTTCTGATAGAGCTTATGTCTGAGCCCAAAATTATATAAATTTTATACTAATTCAATATATCAAATAAGCATGATTGTTCTATGATACTGATTATGCTATTTTATATCCATTGATGTCAAATATACAAAACATAGGGTGTATATGACTTACAATCATTTGTTTTGCAGGCATGAAATCAGCACTTTGTCTAACTCTTTCAAATATTCTTTGTAGCTGGGGATTTATCAAGGAATTATCTAAAGAGAAAAATAAAAACTTTTTCAATGTTGTTAATAGTCATACTGATTTCCAACAATTCCAATTATGAGAAGTTTGTTAAATTCAGGTACCAATGGAGGCGAAAAAACAATGGAGAGCTCACTCAGTTTCATTGTGATGAGCAACCTAAAGAGTTCAGTATATCACAATATAATGACAAGCATAGACATCAAAACTTGACATTACTAACATTCTCCTATCTTAACAATATCAAGACATTATGAAGATAATTATGATATCAGCATATTGCTGATGTCATGAAGTAATTATGCATACTAGGGGTGTACAATAAGAGAATGTTTAAGAAAGAAAACAGAGATTGTTATTACTTTATCTGTATGTGAATTACAGAAAAACCATCTCCTTACCTTGAATACTTAACATTTGACCCAATTTCAATGCTGCACCCCTTACTCTACACAATGTATTCACAATTCTTTCAGCATTAGCTTCTGTTAGAAATGGTGATGAATCTAAGATGGCTGTACCTTTTACTGAAAGCAAAGTCAATAGACAATACAAAAAGCTTCTTTGAAAAGTCAACTCGAGATTAAAGATAATTTTAAATTAGTGATAATTTCACTAATCCAAAATACCTGATGCCTCTTGACAACTTAGCTAGCCTAAAATCAAAAAATTTCCAAACCATTTATGTTGATTTTCTTACCTCTTTCCTTTAAGCCTAAAGATCTCTTTGTAATTTCTGAGATAGCTCCAGCACCTAGACCGGCTGCTAATCCTGAAATTAGTTCAAGAATTGTATCATTTATTATTAACAGCAAATTATCAATAAATATTTTAATTATGAACAAACCCTCAGACCATATACAGTTAGAAAATGTCATTGAAGTGCACAACAAGGGAAAACAAGTGGGAGGAGGAGGAGGGCGGGGGTTTGCCAACTAATTCAGCCTCTACTGTGTTCCCCATCATACCGACTTTTAAGACCCCTTTTTATTTTTCATATAGGCCAAGTGGGTAAAGGAACATTTATACAAAGCAGGTTTTTCTTTATTATAGCACCGGACAAGTCGGTAGGCCTACCACCAAAAAAAATTTCCGCATTGTAAATGAATAGTCCTTGCTTTGGACCTAGGCCCGTGCTTTCTATGAGTTAAATTCTCATTTCACCTCAACAACAAATAACAATACATGTAATAGAAACATAACCTAAATTACCTCCATAACTAACAAGACGACTTATTCTTGATGCTGGAACTTTTCTTTCTCTTGCCCTGGAGCTCAGCTGTAAAACCATGTGTAAGATTTAAATCACATAATTATCACATTTGTTTTTACAGAAATACAACTTAATTATCAGCTTCATCAGGGCATTTCAGCTGGTTCATTGAATAACTGAAAATCATACTATGGTGCTTGTAATGATCTCTATAGTGATTTGATAAAGATAAGAAAATATAACTTACAGACTGTTGGAAGTTGGGAGAATAAAAGGTTTTAGGAGGAGGTTTTACTGTTTCTGTATCATCAGTATTTACAGAAGGTGAAGCTGAACCCAAAGACTCAAATTCAGGTGGGCTTGTTTGATTGGTAGAAGAGGTAGAGTATGTTGAAGACACTCTTTCTGGTGGTTCATCTGTAAAAGCCTGAGATGAGGTGGACCTGGTTTCAGCACTTGAGAAATCTACATGAGGTACAATAGGTTCTGCTGCCGCACTTTGAATGATAATATTTTCTGATAATCTGTCTTCAGGATGTTCTATTTCTATCTTAAAGTCTGCTTGATCATATTTAGCTTCTTTATATTGGAGATTTTGAGCAGAAGATGTAGCTTTAGTTTTAACACTGTCCACAATAGTTGATGCTTGTTGTGATATATCAGCAACTCTGTCTTGCAAATTTTTCTAAACAAAAAAAATCATTATATCTGAAAATCAGTCCAGAAGATATTAAAAAATGAAGGCTGAAAATGAACTTACTATTTTAAGAAATGAATACTAATATTCATCTAACATGAAGTCCTTTATATAGTGCACAGTTTTAAATACAGTGCAAATCTTAAACAAAAATAATATGTGAAAAAAGTGAAAAATAAACATTTACTGCAACTTCTTGTTGTTTTATAGTAGCTGAACTAATAACATCTTCAACTTTGTAACCAACACTACCAAACACTGATTTAAAACTAGAATTGTTCCATTTATTTTCCACCTCCTTGCCTTGATATTCAGCTAATGCTCTTGTTATTTGTTCCAATCCTCGTATAAATCCTCGAAAATCGCCCTTTCTTGACATTTTCTGAAAAATAATAAAACAAAACCATCTCAAAATCATATCAGTTACAATACATTGATATCCATAAATATTATTGATGGCTATATATCTAGTTTAAAAATTATCAATGCCCCAGCACAATCCCAGATAAAAATGAGGTAAAAAGGGGTCTGGGTAGATTTAAATTACATGTACAATTACTTTTCTAAAAAAATTACTTTAATTTTGAATCACATTGAAAACTTGTTTGTGTTTCAAAAGAGAAGCATTTCATTTGCCTCATTGGCCTCTCTATTGCTCCACTTAGGCCCCTAAGTCGTCACAATTAGTCAAAGTCGTCAGTCGTATTTTCTTCACCAATCGCTGTTGAAAACCTGTACGCAAGTAATTGTACAATAAAACATGTAGCTCACTAATTAATCACTTTTATTTAGCTTAGCTTTCTTGAAAGTTGAGTTTAAGGGTCCTAAAGAAAAGGTGCCCCTTCCCGATTTTGAATCAACAATTAAGCTTTTATAATGCATGGAATATGATTGTAGTATTGGACTATCAATGCCATATTGCATCATAAATTAAATGCATATCTTTGAAAGTTCCATGATTGAACAGTAAGCTGAATACATTCAAGAATGTTCTGCATGATATATGTTATATACATAAAATCATATAGTTAATACCTGAATAGCATATCACTCACATTTTTTTCAACTAAATTTATCAATAAATTGCAATTTTTCATTTCATATGTGACTGACTTCATGGTCAAGCTCCACGGCCTGTACAATACTCAAAATGTTTCAAATATGATTTCTAATGTCAGGTTTAGTGAAAGTATAGATAGATATCAATTCTTGAGTAGTTGAAAGACATAGTATCGCATAGATATAAAACCTAAAGGAGTGCCCTCTGCATGTGCGGCTTATGCAACAACAACCACTACTAGGCCTAATTTACTGTTAGCCGAAATAAACGTGACAGTACGAATAAATAGTGAAAAGATGCAAAGCAGGCTCACAGAAGTTTTGAAATTGCTTGTTCTGCATGTTACATAAATATTACCTCTCATAAGTTTTCTCAATGACATAAAATATTGGTAAAATCTTTAACTGAGATGTGTTTACAGTTCTTACCAATGTCAAGGCAATTCTTGAGGATTCCGGACGTGACGTTAATCTATAAATAAACAAGGAATCTCCCTTAGGAAATATTTAAAAAAAAAAGAAGATGGCAACAACCACAAGGCTGTTAACAACAAAAGGTCTCCCAACTACGTTGTTGTCAAGAAAAGCATTCAAACATTTGGTTGTTTGTTACCAAACACAGAGTTTTTTAAAGGTAGCTGGATGGTTTTAAATTTGACTTATTTTCTTCTTGTCCTATTTTCATTTTGCCATGGTTTTTGTATGCTGTCGTCAGCAGTATCAATCTGATTCTGAATCAGTTTTTTGAATCAGTGTGCGACCTGAACTGCCACTGCCAGTGCCAGAAATTTTCATCACTGAACCAGTGCGATAATGATACAGATTTTCAAAGAAAGATAGCTTGCCAGGCAAATTAATATTATGCCCTCTGCCAGCTTTGATTTTAAATAAAAATATTTGGCAGTACAGTAACAATTACATGTACCAGTATGAAATATTCAACCTTCAGTCTTACAGGTCTTTTGATCTTTTTGGGGCGATACTGCGTAATATTTACCAGTTCTGTCAAGAATTGAGCCTTTTAGAGTGTTTACAGACTAAAACTTAAACTTGTTTTGAAGAACAAGGGCAATAACTCAAACTAAATATTTTTGTTGATTCTTCTGATTTTTCGATAGAGTTCATACTTGGGTGATAACAAACACCCAAACAAGTTTCGTCAAAATCTGTCATTAATTCAACCTTCTAGAGCTTGTACGAGCTAAAAGTTGAACACATTTTGAAGAACAAGGGCAATAACTCTTACCGGTACTCGGTATTTTACGATTTTTCTAATTTTGGATAGGGTTCATCCTTAGTTGAATTGTGCTTTCTAGAGTGTTTATGTGCTAAAAATTGAATGCATTTTCAAGAACAAGGGCATTAACTCATACCGGTACCGTACCGGTACCGGTAATTAATATTTTTTGATTTTTCTGGTTTTCAGTAGGGTTCATCCTTGGGTGAAAACAAACATTTACACCAAGTTTCGTCAACAATTGAACCTTCTTGAGTGTTTTCGAGAACAAGGTCAATTACTCCTGCTAATTATGTTTCGATTTCTTTGATTTTCAATACCAAGCTCATACCAAGTATGTCAAAATTGATGTCCCCTCCTTCTGTCTGATGATGGCATGATCTTGAAAACAAACATGGCTAAAAATGTCAGCTGAGCAATAATGAAATTGACAAAACAACTATGGCACCGTACCCAAAAAGATTAGACTAAAAGATAATTCTAAAACTGACTTATTGTAGATAGGAGACAGTCTTCCTGATATCAAACTATATCAAGATACACCTGATAATGGTATAAGTGCTAAAGAATTGTATAAAGGAAAGAAAGGTGTTTTATTCTCAGTGGTTGGGGCCTTTACACCAGGATGTACTCACGTAAGTTAAATAGATGGGAAATCTATTTTAACATTCACTACTTTTTAAACTGATATTATGCAGATTGAAGTGAAATCAATTTCTTAGATATAAAAATGCATGTTTCTGTATTGTGGTAAAACTATTGGATGTGTTATAGCATTTGGTATGACATCAAAGTGGTCAGATTCAACCACAAAACTGACATACCATATACCAAATGTTACAGAATATTGGTAAGTATATAGAAGGAAAATCTTAGATTCAACCATACCTTATGCTTTTTAATTATTATGAGACTAATAGTTCATATTGGAAAAGTTTTGACTGCTCAAGTTTTTGCGATGTATCATTTATGATTTGTATTTTAGGCACATATTCCAGAATATTTAGAAAGTGCTGATAAATTTAAGGTAAACTGTCTATTGATAAGTTTTTTTAAGGATATTTTAACCCTATTTTCTGAAATTTAACAATCTGTTTATTGGAGAATAGTGTGAACATCCTGGAATAATTCAAAACACAAACAGTCTGTATTTTGATGTAGAATAAATAAAAAAACAAACTATTCAGGCCAGACCTTCATTATGTTAATTAATACTTAAACTATCAAAAATAAAATGTTTGTGTAGAAATTTCATTTCAGGACTTGGTTTTGCCTTCTTTTGTTAGTCATTCCCTTTGACTTATACTCAGTCAACTTGAAACTTTATGTATAAATAAACTCTATTATTTGTTATTTATACGATTAGGGTTTACTTACATTCAATTGACTTTTGACTTTCTATTTCTATTCCAGGAAGAAGGTTATGATCTGATAGGTTGTGTGTCTGTAAATGATCCATTTGTTATGTCAGCATGGGGTAAAAATTTACAAGCTGAGGGAAAGGTGGGTGTGCATTCTTATTTAAAAATTACCTCTTTTACACATTTACCTGTACATGGTATTGTGTGTAAGTTAGATCAGATCTATCACAACAGGTTCAAGCTTTATCTGAACTGATGATACAAGAGGTATAAATGACAGCTATTGCAAGTGATATCCATAGTGAGATCCTCCACTGAACCTCCTTGGTTCATTCCATGTATGAAAGTTAAACCCCAAACTAAATTGGCCTTCACTACATGGTGCTAAAAGGAGAAAAACTATTCTTACTCTTTTACTTTTTATCCTTAATTAAAAGCTTGAATGGGAAGGTGATAAAAGATTTTTCCAAATTCATTTGTTTGAAAGAAGGGAATGGTATTAGACATACTTCAGCTCAGTGATAATACTCTCAATTCTACGGTATAACAAAAAATAATCTTTATTTTTTTTATTAAAGATTAAAATGCTAGCAGATACTAATGGTGAATTTACTAAAGCTTTAGGTATGGAACTGGATTGTACTAAATTACTTGGTAATATTAGATCAAAAAGGTAAGTATAAATATATAGGTTCTCTTTAACATCATCATTATAACCTAGTCTATTATCTTTTATCACTTTAGTAACCTGTGTCTAATGCTTGGTTTGACGTTTAAAATGGTATAAATATTAGTATTGTAAGTCTTACCACAATCACAGTATTTGTGTATTTTAATGCAAAAGTAAATTTTCAAACTTTAACATGTATGATAATTAGGCATCATAATAATGATATACCATAATAAGATCTGTTTTTTTTTGTAGGTACTCTCTAGTTATAGAAGATAGTATTATACAGACTATAAATGAAGATCCTAAACATTCAGGCCTTGTTTGTTTATTATGTATCCGAAATCTAAAAACAAAACAACAAGTTATGTCTTGACGAAATATGTATTTGATATAACTTTCTTTTCAGAATTGGAAAATTCCATTTTTTGCAAATTTGTTGCCTCCAAGAGGTTTTTCCTGATGTATTTTTAATGTACAAGTATTTTGATTATTTTGGTTTGTGTTTTTGTGCAAAGATAGTACTATGTTTGTTTTAATCTGACTTTATAAATATCTAAATATTTTGCCTCAATACTTACAAATATCTAGTCCAAGCTTGTTATTTTGTTTTGAACAGAACTCTAATTTTCGAAAAATTGACTCCTCCTGTTTTTTTCTTTAAGAAATCTGTTCTTGAAGTCGTAAAGTCTTTTGTCCAATTTCTGTTTTTTCACATATTTATTATTAAGATCGTGAAAAATCCAAGCATTAAGTCACAATCGATAAAATAGTTTTTAAACGATTACTTAAGTATTTTAAATCTCAAGGTCTCCATTTTTACTGTTATTAGCTATTATGATAACTCAATTTTGATAGGACCAATAGATCCAATCAGCGTTAACTACACATATTTCCGTCTAGAAGACGCTGTAGAAAATTTCTCATTATTCTGATTTTGCTATAATGATAATAATCCATAATTTACATTTAACAATTGAAGATTTCACAAACAAAGTTAATTTTAATATGCCCACATCTCTCTATGTGGACGTATATTGTCGACACCCCTGTCCGTCCGTCTGATTAAATTTAAGGCTTTTTCAAGATGTAGGCCTCTTACGTCAGTTTTGAGGAGTTAACCTCTATACAGTAAGTGCTTCTATCAACATCAATTGCTTGTAAACACTCTTAATACTAGAGTGTTTGAAGGAATAAAATGAAATTCGGTATGATCATACATATTCATGAAACGAACATCAAGTTAGAATTTGAGCTATTTTCGACCGTTAGAAGCAGAGTTATTGCCCTTGCCCCAAAATCTTGAATATTATGCTATTACTCTCTTAGTTTTCAACCGATTTTGATGAAACTTAAAATGGACGTTTCATTTTTACCATCCGCATGCCATGGTGGGCGTATATGGCCGTGGTCCACTATCTTTATATTTCTGATGGAAAATTTGTCGCCATTTGTAAACAGAACCTTCTGCGCATGAAACAGAAACAGAAACTATATAAAGGGTTAAGATAGTTTCATGCATAATTAGCACAATTCTTTACATTGAAAATAAACTGGTCTAGACCTTTAAGATTCCACTTTTCCGACTTTATCTGTATGCTATCTGTGATGTCATAAATGAAGGTTATTAAGATTTTGATGAAATCATAAATCCTGGATATCTTAAGAGTTACACAATCCAAGGTAAAAAAAAGATTATCGTTAAAGGGATACAGTCATCTTTATGTAAGCTTGACAACTCAATGGAGCTCAATTTCAGCTATCATCCATTTTTACATTCTCTAAGAGTTATTTCTATTACTTACGATGTCATGATATTAGCCGGTAGAATTGTAAGTTTTTTTCCTGAAACTAATATGGACGCCTGAAATCTGGCTCTGTCAGCCACAGTGAATGCAAATTTTTAGATGAGTGTATCCCTTTTTATACACTTTAATTTTGACTTGGGTTATCTAATACTATTTCCACTGTAAGATAAATTATGCCTTTTTCACACCTCCTTTCTCTTACATGTTTTGTATTATTATATTATATTTAGAGGTTCTTTGTAAATAATATCTCCACATCTGTACCTCTTTTTCTTTATAACACTTATTCTTGCTTTCAAGGAACAAACGAAGTGGAAACCCATTGGTGAAATCCACAATATAACATATCCCTATATATTAACTAGTATGTAGATAAATCCAGTCCAAAAGAGAATCTTCAAAGATCTGTGTCATCCACTATATTCCTACTTGCAGTAAAATAACTGAAGTGAAAATCATTAAAGGGTTTGTAAAGAGGTTTTGTAAACTTTTTATGTATATCTGGGACACTGTTAGCATCAATTTGCACCATTCCAATAGTCATTCCGACATCTGTGATTCTTGCAATAACACTAAAACTAAAGCCTTTTATGACGTCACTAGGAGGAGCTACTATTGATATCTATGCAGTTCCCCTCTAGTGACATAAAACACGTTAGTTTTAGTGGAATGGCAAGAACCACAGACTTCGGAATGAAAATTGGAATTGTGCAAATTGAAGCCATCAGTGTATAGTTCCTCAATGAAATTATGACAAGTAAAATTGGTTTATTAAAGAATGGTGGTGCTTGGTGTTCCTTCACTCTTTGGTTCTTTTGACATAATTCCTTTTTTCTGTTAATTATATGATATTATTTGCTATGAATATCATTTCTACCTACTTTTATTGTCACTGGTGATATTGATAGAAAAAATTCAAATAAACCAAGAGTATTTTGAATTTGCTTTTTATTTAGAGATCTAGATAGGCTTGTTCTAATAGATTCTATTGAAAACGTGGGAAAACTATTTCACTGCTCAACTGACTGACGGACAGGGCAACGACAATAAAAAGGTATAGCTGAAATTGAGCATCATCAACTGATAAAGCAAATATTCCTATCTCTGTATATGTCACACACACACATGATTGCATCTTGGAATAGAATTCATCTAAAGCATATGAACTTCAAAGAATGGATCAAATTACAACAAAATATAATGTTATTTAAAATACATATTAAATATTACACTTCATAGCATGCATAATTATTAGATTTGAAGAGTTTATATATACTTTAATACACAAATAAAATTGACAGAGTTGTATGGCTATAATATATATTTACAATTTGGCAAGTGTAATATACTATGTACAATAAGTATGTATATGATAAATACCCCATGCCCTCAAAATCATATCTTAACTTTTGATATATGGTAACATTTCATTGGGAAAACAGCCAAAAAAAACAAAACATTTCAATAGAATGACTTTCAATTGACTATCAAAGAAATTGTTTTTTGTTTTTTTTTTTAATTCTGATAGATTTTCTAAAACACTTAAACCCTAATTGGAATTTTGTTGTCTACTTATAATCAAAAGACTCCTTAATAATAATACAATTAAATATCAGGTTTAATATATAGAAAAAAATATTCCCATTTTTACTCAGTATTACATGTGTTACCTTTCAAAATATATTCCATTACATAATAAAAATATACTTATGACACTATTCTTCAAATCAAATGGTATTGACAGAGAGATCTGATAGATTTCACAAACATTGCAATGGTCGGAAAAGTAGCTCTAAAATTTTACATGAAAAAAAAATACTTAGATAAAAGTACTAGTTTTAAAATTGCAATGTTCCTTTCCCAAAAAAGTTAAACCATCTTGGATATTTTGAAATATAAATGCATGTACATATAGCTTATTTGTTTCAAAAACACAAACATTTAACCCATATTTCCTATTGCATTACTAGAAAGGATTTTTTTTTCATTCTTTTCGTTAATTGAAAAAACTAGGACAACTTGTGTCAAGGGAAGTGAAACTTAAACAAATACTCATTAGGTGTTTCAATACAAACTACAAACAAAATCATAAGTCATCTGAATTACCAAAACAAATGACTTAGAAAGAAAAGAATAGAGTGTTCATTCAATTGACAGAGCAGTTCACAAGTAAATACAACGAACTATTTGATATTTACTTCCACTGACCACAAGGGTGAAATATTGTCTGTCAAATTCATTTTAAATGTACAACATAAGTAACTTTGAAATCATGGTTCAGGGGTTTCATTTTGGATCATGAGATATTTCTGTAGCATGAGCAAAAGCACGATGCATCATACTGTTATGTAAATTTTTGATAATGAACTGTTTTGATTTCCAGATATACATGAAATTTGAAAATTTATATACACCCAGGAAAACATGCTACAAAATTTCATCACTATGGAATTAGGATGATACTTATCAATGGCAGTCATTACTGATCAAATTATTACATCAAGGAAACTCAAAATATTATTGTAGGCTACTAATTTGATAAAAAGCTTAATTAAATATGTTGTACTCCAAAATCAATGAGTTGAACACAATACCCTTTTAGAAAACAATAAATTATATATCAATGTGATCAATAGTTTTTTATAATCTATATTTGATTTGAAGTTGTCAGTTACTTAATATTTTCAATAGTTACATCCTTACTAGTCACTATATTGTTAATTGAGTACATACTTCAACTAGGGTCATCCATTTTATTATCTATGAGAAAAACATTCTCCTCTTTCAATATAGTGGATAATTCAGCTACTCCACCTATTTCACTTCATACAAAATCATATTAGAAGATCTAATATGAGTTATTTATGATCAAGTGATAAGATACATTTAGAGTTTTTCAAAGAATACAATATAATATAACAGATCAGTAATTAAATTCATAGGTCAATCTTGTTGGCCAAGTAGACAGACTACACCCAATATGTCAGATATCTTGCCAAGATTTAACTTTGCAGCTTTAATTTGATAAACAGTGGCAGTTTAGACTGTGGTTACTTCCATGATATTATCAAGATTCTCCCATGTAGATGGTACCAAAATCATGTGGTCATGTGTCTTAACTGCCAGTAATGTTGAGATTAGCCTGGAAGCAAGTCAAACTTTCAAAGTACGTTGATTTAAGCAAGCACTACTAGCTGGTCAGGGAAATATTTTGAAAACAATATCCCTTTACTATTTATATTTAAACTCTTAAGAACTTTGTGTAAGAATATTATAATACAGCCCTATAGTAACCTATTTGTCATATCAACTCAGCATTCCAAAAGAAAATCAATGTGTGAAGATACTGTGATATGATATTAGTCAATATTGATACCTGTTATAAACCACTTTATATAGACACATTGTCAATATTGTAATATCCAATATACTCTTTACCACATATTGTGACCTACAATAATCTTATACATCTCCTAACACTCTAACATAACACATGAATAACTGAAACTAACACAAAAATAAACATAACAAGCTTTTCAACTCAATTTGAGAACATGCATACTGTCTTGTCAGGTTTCATACATGTCAAAATAAAGTAAAATCACATAGAGAAATATATTTTGATTCGATACCCCTTGGCTATTGGGTTAATGAATAAATGGAAAGTCAAACTATGTCCTACATATCCTTCATTGTCCATAGTCTGTGAAAATGAAATAAATTTTTTACAATGAAATAATAAAAGAATATCAACCAGTTCATCATAAAATTCTAGGCATAAATTACCATATTCATCATAGTTAGATCATAAAATATTTTATACTGACAAATACATGATAGACTCCAAAAATAATCTAAATTAATATTAATTTCTTTGTGACAAACATAATAGGCATACTTTTAAAAATTTGTGATCAATTTCATGATAAAATAATTCATGTTCAAAGGCCAGATCATGTTGTTTTTAAAAAAATAATTTGAAAACTTCTGAATTAAATATTGCCAAATTAGTTTTATGTCTAAGCATGAGTTAAATTATTTTCCAAAGTTTTTCCAAAATTTAAAGTTAAGTAATACTAAATGTATCTGGTGACATGTCCCAGAAGTACTTTTATCATGAACCTGATAAAATAAAAGTCTTAGGCAATACTCAAATATACATACTCATTTGAAGTGTATATAAATTATACTAACTTTAAGAAAAGGTTCATGAAATTGAAGACATATTTTGACAATAAGAGCTAGAAGAAGTTTGACAAGGGTGCATTAAAGCTTAGAATACCTTACAATATCAAGGCCGATACCTTGGAAATTATTTAGAAAAGTTTGTATAAATGGTAATTAGTACAAGTGCTGTAAAGTGCATCACCTCAGGACTATGTGAAATGTGAATTTGATTGAAATCCAAAGACATTAAATATATGTGTCATTGCCCATTGTCATAGCAACCCTTTGTTAGTACATTCATAACTAGTAATGAATAAAATATTCAGATTAAACTAAGTTATAGTGTACTCTGAAACATATAACACCAAGACAAAGTACAATGAATTCATACTGAACTAATATTGAACATTAAGTGTGGTATGATTGAATAATCTTTAAAATTGATAATATGAATAGATGCATAGATTGCAGAAATGTTGTGTAACCCAATAAGTTTCAACCCTAAGGTTCAATATGGTGCTCATATGTATTTTAGTACGCTGCCAATTTGAGTTTCTGAAAATTTCTAATTACCTTTGTGAAATAAATAATGATTATGATAAAATACATTCACTTTGTTTCTCTTCATTTTCAATGTCATTTTCTGTAAACATGTCATTACCACGAATATTTTGTATGACAGGAGAAGAATTTCCCTCTTCTAGTTCATATGTTGGAGAATGTCGTGGAGAAATAGAGGACTGGCGTTCTGTTACAGTTTGTTCACTTATCTTAGCTAAAACTTGAATCTGGTTTCTAATAGAATGAAAGAATGGTTTATAACCAACACATTCAGTATCCACCCACAGTTCTAGATATGACAAGCCTTCTCTCATTCTAGCTACCATATCCAACTGAGTATCTGTCAAACTGGCAGTATTCACAGTTCTGGAAACACCAAGAGTATCTCTTAAAACTATTGCTATCACCAAAGCCCACTCCAAACAACCTGCTTCCAAAAATATTTGTAATAAATATCGTAATTCTATCTCTGATTGAGGGGGTCCACGATTTGCAGCTTCCTGCGTCATCGTTTCCAGATCGAGAGTCTCTTGTTGTTCACATCCTAAAACTATATCATTCACCAGTTCATATTCACCTAATAAAGAGCTACTATCTGAGATCTCCATAGTAGCTAAACTACTTTCTTCAGTTTTTGATAATTGAGGTCTGAGCAGTACATCATCAGATTGTGATTGAGACATACATGTAAAAGAGTCAGGTGGTGGAGGCACTGAGGAACTAAGAGAAGACATAACAAAGCTACTATCTGTTCCATTAGCAAAAGTTGGTGATCCTAGTATGTCCTCCTCCAGAAGAGATGACGATGCTAAACTAGAAACTGATAGAGCCATGTCTTTTTTCATTTGATGATATGTGTTGTAAGTTAGAATGGGTAAAGGCCAATCAAACTGTGAATGCACATCTCGAACAGCAGTCACAAAATCTTCCAATTTAGCAGCTCGAACTCTTTCTCTTCGTAACCATGACACTAGCTGAAAACCTTGCATATTGGCAGAATAGTATCCCAAAGTTCTTATCTGGTTTGTACTCAAAAGTTTTCGGGCATGTCTAGATAATATCATATCAATGTATACTTTCTCAGCTGAAGCTTCATTGGACTTGGTACGTTGCAGAGGCTTTTTACTGGAAATAACCTTTGAGTCAGACACAGTTTGTTTGAGCTTTTCCTTTGGTTTGGGAACATCTCTAGAAATTGCATCACCAGCAACACTGGCTGTACGTACTCGTCCAATGTTACTTACATTACTATAGCTAAAGCTACCATTATCAGAGGGTGTAATTGGAGGACTAGGGTAACTTGACTGATAATTTGATGATCCAGACATACGGTTAACTGAACCATGAGGTGGCGAATCAACATCATTTGGATCAATAGCTTGTAAAAACCGCACTAAATCACGACAAAGTTCCCAACAATTAGATTCTAAAGAGGCCTCAAGAAGAAGTGTGGCATGTTGGCGACTCACTTTGGGATTTTCTAAATTTTGTAAGATTATTAGGTATGAAGCTGCAGTTTCTAGATTTCCACCAACTTTTAAGCATTCTTCAAATAGATCTTTAGGATTTCCAACTGTTGAAAATAAATAAGGCCACAATGCAACTTCAGTCTTTCTAGCACAGTGAACAACTGTTTGTAAAAATTCTGGGAATTCTTGAATAAATGCAACTACCCTGGGAAGTAAAGGATCAGGAATTGGTGCTTTAGATGTTGCTTCGGCTTCTAAAACACCATGCAATAAAAGTTCTAAAACATGTGGGAAGTAAGGTAATTCAGTGCAACACCGAGCTAAGTCTAAGGCATGAAATCCAAGATTTCGACGAAGCAATTGTCGTAAAATATGGTGTAAATAAATTTGACTAGTTCTCTCTAAAATACAAAATGGTAAGTGAGCTATTTTACCACCATCCAAGTTAGAGGGAGGCGAAGCACTGAATGAGTTTTCATAAAACACGGCATCTGATGCTGCCCCTAATATAACAGCATCTTCAAATAACACAGCTAGTGGATATATATCTACATTGAATGGAAGCATAATTCTCTTAGACATAAAGTTGTGGGCTTTGCCTTCATTTCGCGGATATAATGGCAACCAAACTTTCATTCCATGTGCACCGCATCCAAGCCACAGTGCCTCCATCAATTGCACTTTTCCTGAATTTGCTTTTGATGTAGCCCAAATATTTTCTACAGAGGTTGCTACCACACTTGGGGAATAAAATGGAAGTGGTTTAAGTTTTCTTTCATCACCTTTTGAAGGTTTTGACTGAGCGGATCTATCTCTTTGAAACATGAGAAGTTTTCCTGAGACATTTAGCAACATACTTTCAGCTTCTTTAGCAGTATGTTGTGCCTTTGTGAGTAATGATTCAGACGTTAGAGATGTAAGAGTTAATCCAGCAACACAGAGCGGATGAGGAATAAAGTTACTAAGTGAAACTTCTTGAATTTTATGTACTACCACAGTTGGATTTGGTTGAGTGTTTTTCCGTTCAATTCCAAATAGCATCACATGGCTATCAGCACAAAATATTATCAAAGTATCTTTAAATGTGTTCAATAACAAAACTTGTGATGGTACCTTGCAGACATGGGCAAATGTATTATCAAGTTTACAGTTTCGAGGGTAAAATCTAATTTCATCTTGCTGGCCTGGAATATTGTAACATGCCAAGCATATAAAATCTTTCCACCACGTAATACCCCCAGAAACAACCATATCACGTTCTTGAGTTTCATTTCCAAACAATTTCCATTTTCTGTGAAAGAGTGCATAATGAGCAAAGCCAGTTTTACCAGCAACAGCTATACACTGACCTGCACGGTCTACAGCTGAGTATCTTATAGGCCAGTTAGCTGCTGTGTAATTATGAGATATAGGTATAACTTGCCAATTTTTATTACCAATATCAATATTAGATTGTTCACCTTTTGGCTGTGGAGAATGACGAGATACAGTGTCACTAGTGCTCATATAAAGTTTATCTTCTCCTTGTAGAAATACATGTTCATGATTTCCTACACAGGGATTCACTGACAACGCACTCTTGACAAATTGAAACTGAATCAGTTCTGATTTGGAACTTTCAATTGAAGAAGAAGGTAAGTCATCTTCAGTATGTGATTTTGAATCAGTAGCACTTTCACACACCATCCATAAATGATATCCCTCTAATCCCCACTCTAAGGAGGTGACAGGATAAGGGTATAGCAGAGAACTATCTTTCTGAAATACATAGTCCCCACCAAGTGTGCACACAAGTAAGGCACCAAATACGCTCCACAAAGAGAAGCCACCATTTTTCCAAGTAAGAGCTAAGGCAGTGCCATCAGGAGTCCATTTTAGACAACTAACAGAACCAGCTATATTTCCAACATCTGGAAATTCTTTACTAGATATGATAAGTTTATGAGAAACTTCCAACGCTCCTACTGCTTCATCTATTGTGTACACAATTCCTTCACCAGTTAAACAACCAAATGCAATAAGACGATATCTATGATTAACAGCTACTGTCACAGCATCACTCAAATCCTGAGCTCTAACAGCATGGGCTGTAGCTCTTTCAGCTCTAGTTGACGGTGGAATGAGGAATAAGGCTTTTCCACTAGATAACACTAAACTATATCCTCCAAGAGTTGGGCTATATTCCATATTAACAGCATGACCATCACTTTCAGTTAATTTTGAAGCACGAAATTGTTGAAGGTCAACAGAAACTGGAATATCACTTAAATGTAAAGTTGCTTTTTCATTTTTATTGCCATTCCATTTTAACCTATTCAAAAATCCATCCACAGTACTTATAAGAATTTCATCTCTTACACACAAACAGCACGCTATATCAGTTGTTAAAGTCACGCTTGTTTCAAATATCAATTTAATAGCAGGAACACTGTCGCTATCAAGGATACCATTTATATTGAAACGTGGATTTTGAGGTGTTTTTCCCTCATGTTGCACATACAAACAGTGATGATTTGGCACTGATATGTCTATTTCAACTCGATAGAAAACAACATGATGATTGGATGTTATAACAGCTATCATTGAGGAATCTGGTTTCCATTCTGCTGCCATATATGTTCCAAATTTCGCTAAAGTTTTCTTTGATTGTGAATGTGTTACTATTTTAACACATGGCTTTGAATACCATAATGATAGACAGTCATCTGAGATCACAGCAAACAGCATCCGATCACAACTGCTAACAATATAACGTATGGGACTGGAAGAAACTTCGTCTATTTTCAGATACTTTGGCCATCCAATTGGAAAATACATTTTGATTTTATGAGTTTTCACTGGTATAAAAACAAGGCAGATGGACGAGGTAGTCCCTACATAACTGTTCGGGTATCAAAACACGTCGAAAACAAGAGAGTCACTATTCCAGGGCATCTTAGAAAAAGTTTGACGCCCTCAAAACAAATCAACTCACTGTCCACATCTACCATTTCTGTTTACGCATGCGTGAATCTCAAGTGTCGTCTAAATTGAATACATGTACTTGTTTAAAGTGTGAATCTATTAAAATCTTGTCTTAATCCTATTTTGATTTCACGGTTATTAGTTTAATCATCAATACAATTGAAAAATGTACCTAAACCAAATAAAGTTTAAAACAGACAGGTGCCCATGTTAACATGTAGTATGAAACAAAATCTATTTTACACGTTTTCTTTGACATCTGTAATGATAGGGTAAAGTGACCTAATTCGGCCAATTTAAGGAGGTTTTCCCTGGAAAGCCTGCAGATATATCATACTTAGTCCTCAGATTTCGACTTCGGTATATTTTACTTTTGCAAAGCTCGCCAAAGGGCCAAATATTTCCGAAATCCACCAGCAAAGACAACATTTGCAAATTTTTTTTATCCCATTTCAAATATTGGCTGTATTATATTTACCGTACCATTCCCGAGTATTACATGTACCCCTCAGATTAGCTTGTTTTTAGAGAAGATACGGTTTGAGTTGACCAATCTCTTCAGCAACTATATTAGCCTGAACCAACTCTTCAAGATCAATACGATAATCCTGTTTAACGGTATTCTATAAGAACCAATATTTGGATCTTCAGATGAGTGAATCTCACCTTGACAGATATAGAATGCACTACAACTGAGGAATAAAAAAAACCCACTAGCATAAAATATATTATTTTATTTTATTTCATTATGTGCATTATATTACATAGTTATAATGATTTTAGTACTTATTTATACTTCATTGATCCCTTCATACTGAGCTTATAAAGAAAGACAAAACATACTAAAGATAAAAATTAGTTACATTATAGCCCAAATTACTTAATATGACCTTGTGACCTTATAGAAAATAAATCAAATATTTTGACATTTTAATGTCTTCAATAATAAATTTTAATTTACATGCAAATAGTTTGATCAAATGCTGGTACTTAGTGCAGTAAAATTCTAAATAAGCCTACATCTTTCTTTATGGCAAGGATAGTCACTGGATTAATAACAAGTGACTTATCAAATTTATTCAATACAAGTTAGATTTAATGAGAAGTGCACTGCAGACCGTTTCAAAAAAATAAGAAGTGAGTTTGAATATTTCTCACAAACTGATGATTTTTTATCAAAACAGTTTTCATAATTAAGATATTCTACATATTTCTATAAATACAGCATAAAATAAATATTTCAACAGAAAAATACATAACCATTAACAAATATAAATCTTTAATAAGCATTTTAATAAAGCAGGGAATATCTCACAATTTTATCATGTAATTTTTCAATTACCCAACTTCCTTCAATACAGTATATTAATAAACAACATGTTGATATACAGTTCAAGTCTGATAATCTTTCCAATGTATGTAGGCTTTAGCTTCAAGAATTCAAAATAAAAATTTGCGTAGAAATAAAGTGAATAAATAAAGCAAGTAATAGCAATTTCTAGATAAAAATACCTTTTCATAGTCGCAAATTCAAGCCATCAACATTTCCATAATCTTAAAAATCTAATCAAAAATGAATGCTCTGGAAAATGAATGCTCTCAATCTTGGGATATTCTTATGACAATGAAAAGTATTGCTGACTACTGGAATTCTGAAAGTTGAAAAGCTAAAATGATATTATTTCTAGATTGTCATCATTGACCCATGGGTTTGAGTAATTTATCTAATACTCTGATTCCTTGCTCTTCATATTCTTGTCTAGTCATCCAGAATTCATCTCTATCTTTCATAATATCTGACAATACTGAACCTCCTAAAAATACCATATGTTTACGACGTGGTGGATCTTCTATTTTTATTTTGAATTTCTGAAAAATCAACAAATATGTATTTAGTTAAAATATTAAATTAGTTACAACTTTATACAATACAATTTCCTTAGACCAGAGATCAAATAATACTGAGCAAATTTAGCCTCATGAGTAATGTAAAATATGCCTTGCTTTATTGACAAAATCAATTAAGATAAGTTGTCTGTTCAGAACTTCTTAGGGTACAATCAGGAATCTTGATTTATATAGTGTACATCACGACAAACAACCATATCTTATAATACACCTGTGGCTCACTGCCGAATACTTTTCATTGGCTTTTATGCCAATGAATTTAAAAGGGAACTCTGATAGCATAACTTTGCACCATTCCAATTTTTAATTTACTATGGTCTAGTGCTGGAAATCGAGTTTAAAATTATCATCGATTATCGGCAATATACCGTTAGGCATTTCCGATCGATAATCGATAAAAATCGTAATGTTGATACTCAAATTTTAGGTCAAGTAGTCGACTCATTTCAAGTCCTATTTAGGCTGCCTACCACTTCTATGTAATGCTAGTGTTAGATGCTAGTATGTGTATTGTGTTTATTATCATGTTCTTTGCTATGTGACCAATCTTTTTGTTTTAAAGACGTTTGGAAGATTAGTTTTCGTCAATATCGCCATCGGCATGAATGTACCGTTGAATGGTAAAAATAATTGACTTGATCACACGCTCTTGACAACCAAGACTAAAATACTATAGCACCGTGTTATACGAATTGTGATTAGCCTTCTATTTATAAGAAGCACTGATTATCCAATCAGCATTGTCGATTGATTTGATAAAAAAAGGGAGACAACTACAATCGTGTGAAAAATAAAGGGAAAGTCATGCCCAAATATCGGTACCTGTATTCAGTTAATCATATATACGTATAATAACAAATGTTTGTCCTAATTTATTGTGAATGAAATTTTTTTTTATTAATGATTGTTATGATCATATACAATCAAAGAAATGGAAGAATATACGAGAATAAAGACTTTAGCTTAGTTTATTTTGCGGTACGTGACTGCCGAAAGCGTGTTTTTATTGTCCCATGAGTAATTTAACAGAATTACCGGAGGTTATGTTATTTTTTGCGATAATCGATTTTGAAATGAACCATCGATTATCGTTATCGGTACATGACATAAGAGCGATAATCGATTTTTCAATAATTATTCCCAGCACTACTATGGTCTTATTTCTAGATATCTACTTAGTCTGTTCAGAACTTCTTAGGGAAAAAGATCAGGAATCTCTTTAACAAAGTTGACATCATTACAGACATTGTTACCTTGTGAAGAAGAAATGCAATCTTAAGTGGTTACCTAGCAAGATACGCCCAGAATACAAAAGGCAGTCGTCAATCTTTGTCAAATCGTACAAAAATGTTATTTGTACAAGATATTATTGTTTTAATCACACAAAATTTTATAAAATTTGTACATAAACTGCCAACAAATTTTGATGCATTTTAACTAAGTCAAGGGCAATAATTTGAATATAAATGATCTCATAAAATTTCATAAAATCAGAAATAACTGTAGCAAGCCAATTGTGAACGGACCAAGGACGGATTGACGAACAGGGGCAGCGACAATGTGGTCGTATATAAAATAAATTTTACTAACTGATAATTTTTCTGCATTTCCTTTCAATATTTTTTCCAAGTATAATTGTTTCATCTCTCTTTCTAGTCTTGATGGTAGGCCAGGATACATAGAGGAACCTCCTGACAACACTATATGTTTATATAATTCAGGTCGCAAGTCTATATCAGCAGATTGAATAGTTTGGAAGAGTAATTCAGCTACACCTAGACCTTCTACATTTATTAAATGAGGTTGAAATAATGCTTCTGGAGCTTCGAATCTTTCACCTCCTACCTTTATCACACGACCATCAGGTAACTAAAATGAAAAGTAAAAAGTAAAATATAAGCAGCTTTTCAACCCTAAGGAATAATTAGAAAAAAGCATTGTAATTTTTATAGTAGTTTAATCTTTGACCGGCATCTTGATTGTATAAAACACAAGCTAAAAATCTGTGCCAAGAAAAACCCTCAACCTTAAAGTTAGTGAATAAACCAGTAACTTTCTGAGTGTTATTTTTACCAACGATAGAATATTGTCTGTTCAGACTTCTTAGGGTAAACTGTCATGAATTTCAGATAGCAGATGTCATCATCACAGACTGTCAACATATATACACACTCACAGTATATGGTTCAACTAAAACTGTTGTTTCTAAGGCTAACTTTTGTTCTTGTTCTACATCATAAGCTACATAACATAATCTTTCTTTCATCATTCGAACAGTTTCAAAATCAGCTGAATGATTGAATGCATAACCTCGCAATAACAGCAACTGAAAAACCAAAACAATCTTCACTGAAACTTGTATTTCTTTCCTGTGGTTAGCAGGTAATGGGAAGGTTGACTTAGAGATTACCTATACATAATCATAGGTGACAATCTTACTTTGAACAAAGAATTTTCTAAGCAAATCATCAAACATGCTCTAAGAGAAATAGAATAATATAAACTGAAACCAATATGTTTTAGACATACTTATACATACTTTTATAAGGTATCTAGTTATATCTCGACCTGCGATATCTAATCTTCTTGTTAAATGGGGCAGAGCAAACCCTTCATAAACTGGGCAGATATGTGTCACACCATCACCAGAATCCACAACAACACCCGTCAGTAAACCTGAAATAACAATAAGGTATTAGCCAACAAATCATCTCAATTAACTTTCATCTATATCAAAACAAAGTGATTCACACCAACCGACTTTTATTTGACTGTCACTGAGAATTCAAAGTTGGCATTGCAGAAAACTATCAGTTTGGTCTATTCTTATTTTTCTACCGCCTTAAAATCTAGAAATAAATCTATAGACGTTACCTTGTGCATATAGGGTTAAAACAGCTTGAATTGCTATATGTACACTGTGAAATTGGTATTTCTCAAACATTGTCTAAAAGATAAAAGAAACAATCTTTTAAATCTTTACAATGTCAAATGGAATTCACCATATTTTAGTTCAGTAATTATGCCAACAAATATATATATTTTGAAAATGAGATAGTGTCCGAATCTTCTTTCTCCCACATTAGCAAAACCATATTTGACAAGATATTTGGCATAACATTTATAGATTTTTTTTATTAATCTGCTGAAACATTTAGAGGAAGATATTTTTATATCATATTGAAATCAACATAAAGTTTCATCATTGCAGATTTTTAATATACATTGGATGTCTTTAAAACTATTATTAAAGAGGAGATTTATCAAGGTTAAATTAGATCTGCTCAAACATTTAGAGGAAGATATTTTTATATCATATTGAAATCAACATAAAGTTTCATCATTGCAGATTTTTAATATACATTGGATGTCTTTAAAACTATTATTAAAGAGGAGATTTATCAAGGTTAAATTAGATCTGCTCAAACATTTAGAGGAAGATATTTTTATATCATATTGAAATCAACATAAAGTTTCATCATTGCAGATTTTTAATATACATTGGATGTCTTTAAAACTATTATTAAAGAGGAGATTTATCAAGGTTAAATTAGATCTGCTCAAACATTTAGAGGAAGATATTTTTATATCATATTGAAATCAACATAAAGTTTCATCATTGCAGATTTTTAATATACATTGGATGTCTTTAAAACTATTATTAAAGAGGAGATTTATCAAGGTTAAATTAGATCTGCTCAAACATTTAGAGGAAGATATTTTTATATCATATTGAAATCAACATAAAGTTTCATCATTGCAGATTTATGTCCTCAAAAAAAAGTATGCCTGACTGGTTTAGGTGGCTTAAAATTGATACGGCATGAAACCATACTATTATTATTATATTTTGAACAAGATGAAAATAAACACTGTCCTATTGATATTAAGCCAAGTTCTAAACCTCTGCTTGATCGGATACAAACCTGAATCATTCTTTCTCTGTTCTTCATTGGGTTCATTGGCGGTTCCGTTAGTAGAATTCGGGTATTTTGTGGGTTAATATTCATCATATCTTTACCAAATGTGTGATCATATAAATGTAACATGTCATCCCAGTTTCGTACAATACCATTTTCCATAGGATAATTAACTTCCAACATAGACCTTAATTTACTGGCTTCTTCACCTACCATTAAATCCTAAAATAAACAAAATATTGTGTAGCAGCCATTACCAAGTGACATAACATAATGTGAATATCATATGCTTCATGTCATTCTTTGGGTGCTCTGAGTATATCACACATTATTTTATTCACACCTAGTCATCAAAGCTGGTTATAGTCTTGTAAAATATCATTACTCAAAGCTAAATCATAAACCATTTTGTAAGGTTTTAAAAATATCTGGATAACTCAGGCTACAAAATTGGACAATTGCCAAAGGGGAAATAAACTTGTCTTTTGAATAATATTGATTCGACATTGATCGCTTCGACAGCATTAAATGAAAAATTGTTTGTGCATTGAGAAAAAATTGAACTTTTTGATATTGCAAACATTCAAGAACATAAAAATTGGTTTATACCTCAAAATTTTATTATTACTGGCTCAGATGTTTTTTGGACTATCAATATCCTTATCAATGTTGTAATTGCTGTTATAGATGCAGATGAGTATTAAAACCATTTGGAAAAGAGAGATGAGGGCATGTAAAAAGCTTAAACTATTATAAACATAGATTTACCTTCACTTCAATATCAAATATTTTAGTTTGAGATCTGATAATTGGTCGCCCAACCAAAGATGGAAACAAAAAGGTGGGAAAATTTGATCCTGCATAGCCACATTTCACAAACTGCAATATAAAAAATTGTTATATTCATATCCTTCTTAATAGAGGCCTTTGCACAAATTACTAATTATAGTTTTGTATTGTCACAGATTGAAAATAGATACTGGTAGTAGAATAAGTTTGATAATTTGCCCAAAGCCAAGGATCTGGAGGCCACTGTCTTGTCTACTCTTTAACCACTGTGTGCTATCTTCTGAAAATCCATATTTACAAATATGCTATGCAGAAGCCAGAAGAGGAATAGGTAGCATAGTGCTCAGTTTCAATTTTTCATGTAGACCGAAACTACAGCCTCTAAAAGCTATTTGGACAGAGATAGATTGGTGTAGACAGAAAAAGAAGGTCCTGTTAAATGGGGTTTTCCGCATCTCCACAAGTGTGAGGGTTTTAACGTATGGATAAGATACCTGAGATCTGCAAAACCCAGATATATTTAGAAAGATGAATATTTTTGTAGTTCACCCATTGTTTTACCCTATTCCATTTATGTCAAATCTCTGGTTCCAATAAAGTTTTTTTCTAACCAAATTGGCATTGGCCTTTAAAAACTGTGTGCAGACAAAGGTTCCAAATTCACAGAGTCACATGCTAAGAAAAAAAAGAAAGTTACGATGATGCCCAAAAAACGCATCGTTGCAGGTGTCGAAAATCCCTATTTAACAAGATATTTTTTTCTGACTCTACTCCAGCCGACAACTGTCAAAATATCTATTAGATTCAGAAATGAAATGAATGGAGTTTTACGTCCTACTTTTCTGCACCATGTATCAGATTTATATATAGGCTGGAATAGACTAAGAACTTCTTAGTAAGAAGAGGCAGATGTTTCAGATTACGCTCAATGTAACTCTATAAAAACAGTGGGTTTAGACTCCTAACTTTTAAAAAGCAAAGACTATTACTCTAAGATGAGCATTAGCTTTCTCGTGTGTAGTCTAAGCCTAATCTTTAATAGAAAATTCATTTCCGTCTCCCCACAATCAAAATTACTTGGCCATTGCATTGATTTGATTGTATGGCCGACAGAAACTTTCAAGTTTTACTTGATGTTAGGTTCGGCAAAATCGTGTAATATCATTAATAACATATGGTACCCCATCCAAAGTAGTACTAGGGAATAATACGACTGTAATTTTTGACGTATTAGATTGATGCACCAAAGGATGTCCTTTTCTTCCGGGTCGAGTCTTACCAAATATATGCAAAAATTGATCTAAATATGGATAAAAATTCAACTAAATCATATCTATATGATGCGCTACTCACTCCTGTTCCGTTGTCACAAACGACAACGCTTCTTCCTTGACTGTCCATTTTGGATTCCGACAGATTTTACAGTTACCCCATAAACTTCAAAATCTCCATTCAGGAAGAGCCGGAAACACCGCCCCGATGAGTAATGGTGGTAATGGATTGCTGGCCAGCGATTGGTCAAAATGTTCTAGCGAACCAATCATAAGTTTATTTACAAAATTCGACAACACTTGTTAAAATGGCGTCGACCGGTTTGGAAGTTAAAAAATATTCTCTGATATTTTTAATGGAAATTATCTATTTACACATAACTTTAACAAAATGTGAGGAATATAAACTGAAAGATATTGATTTCGATTTTAGACCAGATAAAGAACCGGCTAGAATTTTTACTTCCGAAGAAATTGCAAAATTTGATGGGTCTGATGTAAGTAAACTTTGGTATTGTCTCCCTTTAATTGTTTGATTTGGGTAAAGTGTTCTGAAACTTTTGAAGCTTGACAAAGCCATTTCGGGTAGGCCATATTGAATGTATGTAAATAGTGGCATAATTTCTTCAAAAATACCTGTTATGATACCGTTATAGAATTGAGTTGAAATAGGATTACTCTTTCTATTTCTATGTAGGATGTCTTTTCTATAGGCTGTAATATGACAGTCATGAGATAGTTGGTTATTGGGTATAATAAGAGAGAATAGGGGGTATCATATCAATTGCCAGTAAAGCCTAAATATTTCCCACATTTTTTACAGCCGAGTCAACCGATATATATGGGTATAAAAGGTGTTGTCTTTGATGTCTCATCAGGTAAAAGTAAGTATTTCCCATTTTTAATGATGCCCTGGAATATACAAAAATGTGATGCTGTGAGTAGATTTGTCAGTCAAATTTAGCCCAGGGATAATTAATTCATGCTAATTTTGGACCAGGAAAACACACCGAGGTGTTTGTAATTTTAATTAAAGTCAATTACGATTTAATTGATAATTTTATTCAACATTATCTAAGAATTACGGATAACTTTATATATTTGATTAACAGTTGGTTAAAGACAAACATAATCACTTTTAAACTTTATTTACTTACGTGAGTCATGACTATTAACAGAAATATAACAGAGATAAATGAAAGATATCAAATTTATAAGGTCCATATCATAATTATAAGCTATAATCTAGGCATGTTTTGTTTGATAAATGTGCAGTTATTTCATATACATGTACCCGATATAGATAATAAAAACAGAAGAAAAGAAGTATCTTGGCATGATTTTTCTGTCATGGCACTGAATATCTGTGCAAAGGCGCAAGATGATCATCTTACGTCTCCATATCATTAATTAAAGGGACATTCCGCTTTTTTTGTAGGTCGGAAATTTTTTTTTGGCTCAAATTTGTGAAAGCTTAACACCAGAATCTAGAGAAATGTGCCCTTTATCGTATCTGAAAGTATTAATTAGAAGAATGCAGCCGTTAATTTTTAAACGCCAAAAATATTTAAAAACGTTCGTTTTGTTTTTTGGAAGCTGTAAGAAAACTACTGTAAGGATTTGAGTAAAATAAACGCCTAATTGTAGAGAAATATGTCCCCTATGTATTCACTAGGTTTTAACTAATGATATTGAGCCATTTTAAAGCCAAACACCAAAAACTAGGTCAATTTCCTAAAATCTCCGTTTTTAACGACCCGTTTAGAACAAATTCAGAAGATACATAGATATAAATAGCATAGTCTACTTTAAAACTATTAGGCTAGGTATAATTTATGACGTTTTTGAAAATGAAAACTTCTTAGAAAAAAGCGGAATATCAGGGAACTTATTATAATTATTATAGTTGTAATTCATGACTCCTGTTTTATAAAGCATCGTATCTCGAATACGGGTTTTGACATAAGCCCCTTTTACACCAGTAAACCCAAGTGGACTTAGAACGGTTCTTCATTTGTAATGTAGGCCACATTAGGTGGAGGGGTCACAGAATTGTCAAGGGGTCTACAGTTTAATATTAAGAACTCAATGATGAGAAATTAGAAAATGGGGAGTTTAGGGCAAAGCGGGATCAGTCTGTCCCTGCCCTTTTGACGTATCATTAGAAACACACACTTCATCAAATTACAATATTTTAAAAAGCTCACCCCATTTTCATTTTGTAGATTTTTATGGTAAAGGATCTTCATATAACGCATTAGTTGGGAAGGATTCAACTCGAGGTGTTGCGAAAATGTCTCTTGAACCAGAAGATTTAACACATGATATTGTAAGTGACTCGTTACAGTTTTTACTTGATAGGCCATGACGATGGTATAAATAATGTTTAAAGGTTCAGCCGTCCAAATTATATAAAAGTTGGGTTTTCTATGTTTACTTGTACTTTCGTTTTTATTGAATTATAGCCAGAGATTTAAAAGTCGGACTAAAAATTCTGAAAAGTAATGCAGATGTCAAGTATTTGATTTCAAACACCCTTTCAATTTAACCCTGCAGTGATTATATCTTCAAGAATATATTTATATTTCCTTTCAGACAGGATTAAGCTCAGAGGAACTAAAATCTTTAGATTCAGTATTTGAAGGTACCTATAAAGCTAAATATCCAGTCGTTGGCTATATGGATTATGTGCTGGATCAACACAGAGAGAAGTTTTCTACTACTAGAGATGATTTATAGTATTTCTTAATACCCGAAACAGACTAATTCTGTTTATATCAACTTTGTACTTGAACATCAATTTTCGGATCTGAGTGATATTACGCCCAAATGTTGTTATATATTATCTTGCTCGTGAATAAACACATATCAATGTTATAAACAATATCTGATATATATGTGATATTTGAAACTTTTATAATACAATAATTTTACTCTATATGAACTGAGTAAGGGACACATTATACCTTGTCCAATGAATGAATTGTGTATCAGACGTAATATATTTTAATTTCATTGTTGTAACAAAAATTGTAAGTAAGATGAACAGTTTTAATGAATTTACTTGTTTTAAATTAACAGATGGATTTTTTGATAAATATTTTATATTACATATGACATGTGACAAATGGGGGAGTAACCTTGTGATATAATAATCATAGTCAAGTCTGCATCAAATGCTTCATTTTGATTTGTAACCATGTTATTTCATTAAGAATAATAAAACAGAAAATAAAACAGTGTTGTTACTCAGTCTCACTCTGTGCAATTTTCAGAAGAATGAAACTGAGTAACACCAGGTTCTGGTTTAATATTTTTATATCACTCTACAATTACAGTAAAGATATTTTGAATATAAACTAAGGAATTAGGCGAATGTGAAAGATGACAAAAAAAGCTTTTTGTTACAAATCAGTGCAGTTCAGAGATTTTGATACAGTTTGATATCAGTTTCAATAATTATAAATTCATTACATTTAAAACAACATATTTTAAACACGCTTACATTCCCATTGAAGTTCACGAACCTAACTGACACAGAACTTTGTATAAATTTAGCAAGTTATAAGTACACATCTCGATAAGTCGTTGTCATCATGTACATATGGGGGCTGTGACGCCTGGTTTGATATAGAAATTGGCATAACTTGAACTTATCGGAAATTCTTAACCTATTGCCCTTTCGGCATCAATCCTTAGATAACAAATCCCCCTATTTTCTTCAACTTGTCTTTTACTTAACCTTGATGTTTTAAGGGATATATGTTCGCTAATGACAAGTCTCTAAAATGCGAAGTACGTCAAGCAGAGTGACTAATGCAGAATGCCTAATTCAACGTGTTAAATGGTCAACTTATTGAAAAATCGGCAAATAGGGCTTTTTTTAGGAAAAACACTTAATCGCCATCTGTAAATTTCCAAAAATGACTTATTTGCAACTTGTTCGCCACTTAGTAAATAAATAATCAAAAAATTTGCTGTATATTCGCCATTCATTCGCCGATTCGTGAGTAATTTTTAGATATTATTAAGTTAAATCTCATGTAACTACAAAATCCCTTATGTATAGTATAGTATAGTCGGGGATCAGTAGCTTATAGCCTACATAGTAGTCCATGTTTGTATTTCAATTGAAGTAATTGCTAATTCAGCTAATAGAGCATACATATAACCCCAATAAATTATGGCCTACAGCCCAATATACAAATAACAAATAGCAATAATAGTATTCATAATTTTATAAAATAACAACAAAACAAAACTGATTAATCAGTTTCAGGTAAATTTCATAATAAATTAAGCTTGGCCTAGATGTTCTCCTGTGCAAGCCGCTCAAATCAGCAGATTACAAAAATGATGCAACTTCATTAGCCCCCCCTGCCAGCAATAGATTCGCTCCATAAAACACAATCAGCTTGCATAGTTATGATGTTACAAACCGAAAAGTTATAACAAAAAATACTTCACATCTGTTTTATGGCGCTGCATTTGGTTCAAAATAGGATCTAGATCTGATTGTATAAATTCTTAAAATCGCGTGGTCATTTCTTAGGTAGAAATGACTAACCTTATAAAAGTATTTTTACGTGTTTTATCTCCTATCTTATTTACCTTTTTCAATTTGAGTTTTCTAAAACCTAATTTTAACCGTAGACTTTGTAGAACGCAGAACACGAATTTAACCCTTGGAACTTCACTACTGGATCTTGTTCGCTGAATCGTAATCTTTCAACTTTCTTCACAGGATCGTGATCTTTAGAACTCCTCCACTGGATCGTATTCGCTGAATCGTAATCTTTCGACCTTCTTCATTGGATCGTGCTGAATCGTAACCTTGAATATTACAGAAATTAAATAAGATCACGTGACATTTTCTGCATATCATTATTATTCGTCATTCATTTCATAAATTGTAATTCTAAACAGTATCGAAAATTTGAATAGAACAAAATTCACAGGAAATATACGGAGTTATCCTTTTTTGGTGGGAAATTTAAGTTTTTGGGGTAAGATTTTAGTTTTTGGGGTAATTTAAAATTAAAATAGGTTCGAACGTATGTGACGCCGAAACAGTATGTACGCTTCTGGTTGCTTGCTTTGCGGGAGGTCACATGACGTCATTCACTTTGTAGTAGGTCGGCGGGCCGACCGCCATTGTTGTAAGAATTTCATGTATAATAAATTTAAGTTTTAATCAACTATGCATCTTTATGGCCATCGCAAACACAACAGTTCCAAAGGTTAAATTCGCAATCTGCGTTCTACAAAGTCTACGGTTAAAATTAGGTGATGAAAACTCAAATTGAAAAAGGTAAATAAGATAGGAGATAAAGCACGCAAAAATACTTTAATTTTGTAAGATTAGTCATTTCTACCTAAGAAATGACCACGCTATTTTAAGAATTTATACAATCAGACCTGGATCCTATTTTGAACCCAATACAGCGCCATATGTGTATAGTGTGTGGTTCGAATGGAAAATAGAATTTCAATTACAGTACCGATAAATATATTTAGTTAATTGTTAGTTGGTTAATACAAAAAATACAATTATCTTTAAATACATTTAACTAAATCTATTTAAGGTTTAAAATAATTCTATTCTTCTTAATTTGATTTTATATGGTGCATACAGGCCAATATTTTAGAAACATCACATCGTTCTTCATCGCATCTCATCGCATCACAAACATTTAATGCAAGCTACATTCGTCATTTCGTTGAAGTTTGGAATTAAAATATGACTAAAAAATATACTCTGCCTGGAAAATTTCATAATGTAAGAAGCCGGAGAATACATCTAACTCGATTTTGGAAGTGAATGTAGAAACAAAATTCATTTTTTGCCCGAGGGGACATTACGGTGTAAATACGCCACTATACCCAGTCACCGGAACGATCAGCGTGACTTGCAAATGAAATGCTTGTAAATTAAAAAGGACGGCTGTTGACTCATTAAATGCATAAAAAAGTATGTATTAATAACCTGGGTTTCTCCATAGATAGTACTTTTATACGCCCACAGTATAATGCACCGAACGCTTTTGATCAGATTTTGACTAAATTTTATGATTTAGATTTTGGATGAGTTTTTAATGAATTTTCGATAAACGGTATTCGTTTTTTGGTTTTTGCCCTTGACTACTAAAATAATCAAATTGGTATACGAACGTGATAAAGTATACAGTTTTGATCAGATTTTGACTTAACTTGGCATCCACATGTTTATATAATGTAGCCTATATTGATAATGAGATCTCGGTTGAGTTCGATTTTCAGGATTTTTTTTTTTAAATCTCAAGTTATTGACCCTGACTACATTAAAATGTGTCAAAATTGTCACGTAAAAATGAGTCTTAATTGAACTATGATTTGACGTTACTAGGTATGGTTATGTTTATTTGTGAGATTTATGAATTTGACAGAAATTTTGATAGGATTTTGATTTGTTTTTTGACAGTACTTTCAAAAGTATCGTTGAAATCTATCACGGATCAAGTCTTTGCTTACAAGCTAAAAATTTGGCCGTTTTCGAAAAACAAGAGCAATAACTCATATTAAATATTTTTCGATTTAATGATTTTCGAATGGGTTCATGGGTGATATCTCGTCAAAATCCGTCAAGAAATGTGCCTTGTAGAGTGTTTACGAGCTGACCGAAGGAAAAAACGAAAATGGGTGACTCAAATTTACGCGCCACATTTTTACGTTTGCATATAAAAATAATCCGCCCGTGATATCAAGACATATTATGGATTATTTATAGAATGGGTTTTGCCACGAACTAATATTAACGAACACCTGTACTGAATAGAACAATTTGAATATTGATGGTACACACAGTAAGATAACGCAGAAGAGCGGAGCGGAGAGCAGAGTGAAGAACAGTAAGTTTCTTAAGTTTGACGTTTTTGATGTTTTTGATGTTTGAGTATGGAGAGAAGTGTGTACATTCAAATGTAAATTCATTATAGCTTATCAATCTGCAGACATAATGTGCATATTTTGAAATTTGAATACGTATGAACCTATGACAGAAAATAATAATACTGTGCTCACTCTGGTCAGAGTTTACCAATATTACAATATATTATATAGTCCATATCGCCAACGCCCCCTTCAAATACTGAATCTAAAGATTTTAGTTCCTCTGAGCTTAATCCTGTCTGAAAGGAAATATAAATATATTCTTGAAGATTTATTCACAGTAGGATCAAATAAAAAAGGTGTTTGAATTTTTGTAATATGCAATCAAATATATAGGTCCTATTCGTTGTTGCGAAAATAATTGGCCTATGGATATTAGACTTTTTGTGGCGATAACAGACATGTGCATGTGGTATAAGTAAGTTCACAAAATATTAACATAAATTGGTTATATCGTGATATGAACTAAGATGGATGCTTTAAAAATGTAATCAGACCTTGTTCAAAAGTAGGCGTAGCCAACTCTTTTGTACCTTCCACGTCGCACTAAGGTAAAATCCATTTGAGATGGAAACATGTCGTTGTCTGCTTTAAAATGTATAATAGTCTGATCTCGCCCTAAATTGTTGCGAAAGGTTTTTTACACGAAACGCCTATAATCAAAGTATAAACCTTTAAAAATTTTGAATAATTTAGTTTTTAACCCTTGTGCTAGAACTTGGGGTATTTCGGGACCCCAGCACCGATTTTTTTCGAATTTCCAAAATGCCATCGAAGATAACAATTTGGTTATTTCAAACATTGTAGCTGAATGAATTTTTAACCTGTTCATGATCAGCCTAATGTGCAACAATCACAATTAGCGGATTTGTTACCCTTTTAAATTGAAACAAACCATGCTAGTATGTTGGGGTTCAGTTAGACCCCAGATAAATGCAGTGCTAAAACTGGATTTCAGTGAATAAAATTAAATTGTAATCTACTCCTAAAGCTAGTTATCTTAGGTTAAAGTCAATTTGGCACTAAATCGAAATGTCCCCATGTCAAAATGGCCCCAAAAGTCAAAATTAGTCGAAATGACCCCAAATACAATAGTCAAAATAGCCCCTAAAATTACTCTTTGATTTCAACAAAAATCATTGGTCGAAATGATCCCCCCACCCCCAAAATTAAAAATGTCCCTAGTTTAAAAAATTCTAACTTTCATAATTAATTATAATTAGTAGCTTATCTGAGTGATTATCAAAGACTAATAATAATAGTTTGTAACTTATGTGATGATTACTGAAAGAAAAAAGACAGTAGTTTATAGCTTACTGAAGTGATGATGTGTATATTTGTTTTGAAATAAATACTGTTTAAACCAAGTCATTTTTTCCAAAACAGCCAAGTAATATATAGAATTGGTTGAAAGTGGGGCCGACTTTCAATACACCTGTAAGAATTGTATTGTACCATACGGAAACTATTAAAAAATCTTAACAACATTTGATCGATAATAAACATTGACACAGTACATCATTTCAAAGATTAAGATTAATCTGATATACACACAAAACCTACTCTGAAAGTTAAACTGGCGCTCTGAAACACGGAAACTGTTGAGAATTGTCGAATGTAGTTCGTCGAGTATCCGCAGTTTTTGTAAAGCTGAATCTGTCACAGTAATGAATGGAAGATTTCGTTTTGTATCTGGTGAGAGCCTTCTTAGGCCGACTTCAGGCAATTCACAATTTGTCAAGTGATGAAGTAATGGTAATATTTCTACCTTAATATTATACATCTTGTTCATAAGTCTGAAGCCTTTGTGGGATAATTTTTATGCATTTAATTATATAATGTGACTATCCGTTAAGATGACCATAGATGAAATGAAAATTTCCAAAACTCGAAAAGCTATATCCGCGAGAGTTCACATTTGGCATCTGAATAATTTGTCACAAACAGAACAGTTTCGTACAGTGACGGAGCCAGCCTCCCGAGACTGGGGGTACAAATTGTACAAGTGTTTATGCCCAACTTGGCATTCATGGGCACCCATACCTCACAGAAAACTTAAGCGTGGGAAGTTTTAAAGTTTTATTTATACATCATAATGTTATATTTAACCATACACTACACATCAGTAATAAAATTACTGACACATTATTACCAAAATTACCAAATATCAATACAAAACAGCAATAACAGCAGGTTTGCGAGTTTTATGCTCCAACCCGACAGAAGCAAAAAAGGTTCTTCTCGATCAATGACGTTATTTATAGACGTCATAGCAGTGATTTGTCAAGTGATAATCATATTGCGACCTAAATATAGTCCTGACTTAGATTTTTTGGGAGATAATTCTGACTCTTATTTTGACTTGGTTGTCTACAAATGATATATATACGAAGTTTTGTTTTCATTGACCAGCCGCTAATATTTAAATAACCAGTATCACGTGATCACGTGACAATATCGACACAGTTCCCGAAAAAAAAAATGGCCATTCATTACCGTGATATGTTGCAGAGCGCTAGCGTAACTTTCACGGAGGCCATTTGGTCGCAAGCCTCTTATGGAGCGTCTGAGAGGATTCTACCAAAAAAATTGTAGAAAATTGCATTCTTACATATTTTTGGACAAAAACGTATAAAAAGCATATTTTTTAACATTTGTTAAAAAATAAAGTGTGGGTACAATTGGGGGTGCAAACCATTTGTCGCCCTGTATTCCCACTGGCGCTGCCACTGGTTTCGTAGTTATTACCATGATATACAATAACACCACACACAACATAAAACTTTATTTTCATACAGAGGTTTTTTTTTGTTTTTTTGCAGGCGTTTAAAAATGGCAGCAAATAGCAAAATAAAGATGCCCAAAGAGGTCATAAAGTGAGTGTAATTAATGAAATTAAGGGCTTTGCCTGGTCTATTTCAAGTTATGGAATCATTTTATGAAATACTAATTTCTTCAGTCTAATTAAAATTAGACCAAACTTTCGTTCCTTTTTTTTATTAGCTTTTAATTTTAATACAGCCATTTCAGTTAGGGTCTAACGAAAGCCCTCTTGAACGTTCGTCAAATCAAACTATTGACCGAACTCGATTCGGTCTGATTTAACCAATGAAATTTCTACCCTCTCCAGTCCTGGCATTTTGTGACGCAGTGTTTATCAAGTTGGGTCAAAAGTGACTATATTATATTTAAAAAAAACTAATAAAAAAAACAAACGAAAGTTTGGTCTAATCTCAATCTTGAGACTGGTTGTGTATTTTATGGTCCGTCGGTCCGTCCATATTTCTTGTGATCACTACAGTTTTTATCTGATTACATGTATACTGAAATTTAGTATGATCGTTTTTTAGCTATTGCCTTTGCCCTTGACGCGTCAAAATTTGTTTGTGAACACAGTAGACTAGTTTCATCTGATTTTAATGAAACTTGGTGTGCTCATTTATATTGATGAGATATTGGTCAAGTTCGAATTTGACAATTTTTCGATGGACGTTATTGCCCTTGGCTAGGAAAAACTCGTCAAATTTGGCATGTAGACACAAGTAGTATATGTGTTTTCTGATATAGCGCATCCAGTTTGATCCGTTTTTTGAGATGGCAGGTATATGTCTTTTCGGATATGACGCATTTCACTTCTGCGCAGCTTTTTCAATGCGTCATATCCGAAAAGACACAACTGTTAAAATGTATTATAACAGACTTTCCCCAAACTGTTAAAAAATGTATTATAACAGACTTCCCAAACTGTTAAAAAAATATATCATAACAGATTCCTCCAAACTGTATTATAAATTACCCCAAACCACAGACAAGAATCACTAAAAAATAATACAGTATAAAATAACCGCATTAAAAATGTCTTTAATTTTAAAACACGAAAAAAAAAAATTCGAAGGAGACGATTTCTTCTCTGCGCTAACATCTCTCATCCCCAAAGTGGCCAATTTTGTCTCAAACAACAAATCCCTCATTTCCTCAGAAGCGCAAGCTCTTGGATCTGTGGCAAAAGCAGGAGTAAATATAAGCGATGCAGTGAAAAAATCTGACGAACTTAAAGAACTGCAGCTAATAAGAGAACTAAGAAACAAGAGACTAGAACGACAAGCCCTGTAAAACCCGGAAAAGGGTTTAAAATCATTGGATAAAAATGGCAAGCAAAAATTACAGATTGGATCCAATCTTTCAATTGTATGATCCGATTCAATATTCGTTCAACAAGGAGAAAGAGGATTACGTAATCATCTCACCATCGGTAGGGACAAAGACCCAAATAACTGACGGAGGAAGAGTTACCTTTGAAATTAATTCGTTGTCCAATTGGTTGCTGCTTTCCGATGCCCATTTCCGATGCGATTTCAAAATCAAAGACGCCGCTCAGAATCGAATTCCACAAACCAACACGACTTTAGAAAACAACTTCTTTCCGTCTTTATTCAGCGAAATGGTTTTGGAAGCTGGTTCAAATCCGAGAAAACATATATAGACCATAAAACACCCCGGAGAGTTTGACACAATGTTGAAAACGGTTCTGTATCCCAAAAACTACGATTCAGTTTCGGGATGGATTCCCGATGTCGGTGGCGGAGAAGTTTTAAAAGAACCGGTCAGAACTGTAGCAAATGACGCAGACCTTGCTCGGATAAGGGTAGTTGCTAGAAACACACTGGAAAGAGTGACTCGCGGAGTAAATCAAGGATTTGAAAAACGAGCGCTTCAATACAACAATGTTGTTGAGAAAAACAGATGGGGTAATTATGTTAATTGGAAGTTGTATCCTTTATTTGGTCTCTTGGAACACAGAAAGGTTTCCATAGGTTTACCGTATAAAATTCATTTGCAAAGAGAAATCAACGACAACAAGATATTCTTTGGTGAAAACAACTCTGATGCAAAATTGGAAATAACGAATATCCAACTTTACATACCGGTAATCACTCCTTCCGTAGAAGTGGAAACGAGAATATTCAACTCTTTAACCAAAGACATCGAAATTGCTTTTCTTCGTCGTAACACGGTAGGTAGCATGACTTTAACTGGGGAATCCACCACGTGGCCAATCACCAACACCGTCAAACCAGCGAGATATCTAATGGTCGGTTTCAAAAACTTGCCAGACTCTCAGACAAACAACAACAACATTTTCAGAGTGGCATTGAACCATACTCAAGATCCCATCATTCGCAAAGTTCAAGTCAGATTGAACAACGATAATTATCCCAATCAACCTTTGACAATTGATCCTTCCAAAAAAGATTACAACGAATTGTACAGAACCTATAAAAACACGTGCGAACTGTTTGGAAATACGCCTCAGTTTGAATACACAGATTTTTCACTCAATCATCCAATCTTTTGTTTCGATCTGTCAGCTCATCAAGAAGATCTTTTCAAAACAGGGGTAAACATAAATATTCACATCGATAAAACACAAGGAGATGTGACCGGCTACTGTTTATTGCTGGAAGAAGCAAAACATTTGATTAAAATATCAGATAGAAGAATGATAAGAATTGAATAAAAAAACACCCTTTAAAAATGAAACCAGAAACTTTAGTTATGAAAATAATAGAAGCGAATTCGCCGACTCTAATAACTTACAACAGTAAAAAAGTGCACATAACCCGAAAGATTATCGATAAATACAAACATTGCAAAGTCAGAGACGATATAGACTTGGAAAGAATTGATGAGAATTTAACTAAAAAAGGTGGATTTTTACCTTTCTTACCTTTAATCTTTGCTGGTTTAGCTGCTCTCCTCGGGAGTAGGAGATATATTAGGGACGGTTAAAGAATTCGGACAAAGATTTGGCGAAGAAACCAAGAAAACCGTTAAAGAGGGATTAAGCAAATTAATAGATAAAATCGACACCGGAGAAATGAAGGTCAAACACAAGGGCAACGCCATATTTTTTGAAAACATACGTTCGGGCGAGGGAATCTTCCTTTCAAAGTATAAAGGCAACGGGGTGATTTTTGATACGAAAATGTAATAAATAAAAATGGGCAAGAAATTCAAATATTCGGACATATTTCCTAGTAACCCAATGCTCATGTGCATTTGTGGTAGTTCAGGTTCTGGGAAAACTCATCTCACTTTTAACATGTTGATAACACCAAATCTTTTAGATTTCGATTCTCTGTATATCTACACAACAACACCAGAGCAATCGTATTATCAATTCCTCAAAGCTTTAGAATATTTACCAAAGAAAGACGTTCAAGACATATTTCAATATTACGAAGAAAACGAAGAAGAAGTGGAAATAAAAGATATCATAGAAAACTTCATTAAATCAAAGAATCCATCTTTCAATCCAACGGATATAAAAGTTTTTCTTACGAAAAATGTTAATGATCTAGACTTGTCTAATATTGATAGCAATCGAAAGAACTTAATATTGTTTGACGACTGCGTAGCGCAAAGAAATCAAACTGTTCAACAAGAATTCTTCACCAAAGGAAGACATCACAACTGTCACTGCATATACTAATCCCAATCTTTTTACGGGATGGATTCTATCTTCATTAGAAAAAATGCAAATTGTTTTTTATTATTTGATTTAAACGATTTATCTCAAATAATTCAGTCTATAAATCACGGAATGGATAGAGATACATTTAAAAAGGTTTGTAAAGCTCAATGGAGAAACCCAGATGATCATGGATATGTATTTGTAAATACTAGAAAACCTGCGGGAGAAAGAGTTATGATCGATATATGTTAATTTTATTTTTTTAAAAATGACGGATTGGAATAATTTTTTAAAAAGAAATAGAGAATATATCAAAGCTAAGAATAAAATAAAGACCCAAGTTGAAAATAACAGATTGCAACAACTCGGATTAACGGAAAATCTACAGACTCTATTTCAACCCATATTAAAAAGTCAAGAAGATATTAAAAAGAGACTCGTTATAGAACCCACCCCTCGTATAGAACCCAAAGCGATTGAATATAATGGTATTATAATTAAGACATTAGATGATATAAAACGTCTTTTTTCAAACCCTGACCCAGATTTACCAAAAAGCATTTCACCAATCGTTGATGATGAGGGTTTGTTGTTTAATGGTTTTAGAATAAAATTTAGTGGAAATTCACCACAATTCAAAATCGACACAAAAGACTTTATATTTACATTAACGAGAGGGTTAATAGATTTAATGAATGGCGAGGATGTTGAAATTGCCGATTACAAGGATTTAGTAGCATACTCAAAATTTCTACATGCGATCAGAAAGTCAGGACCCGAAACAAGAAGATTGAAAGAAGTTGATTTATATATAACAAAAGTTATTGAGCAAGATGAAGAGGATGTAGATGATTATGCAGAAGATTATCCAATCATACAAGAAATAGACGAATTCGATGATATGGTGGCATCTGGTATAACGTTTTTATCCGACAACAATAAAGAATTGCTTAATAGATTAGAAATAATATTAGCGGCCATGAAAGAAGGTCATCGATCGGACAGACAATACAACGAAGTCAATGGCATATTAAAACGGCTTTTGGAGAAAAAAATCATCACTAAAAAAGACTATAAAAACGTCATTAAAAATGTCCAATAAAGAACAATTGTTCGTTATCACCTCGAATAAATCAGACATCAAATTGTCTGTAGACTACGAGTATGAACTCGATCGCAATAAACAATACGAACTGGGATTAAAGTATTTCTCCGTTAACAATTCCATTAGAAACATCAACGAAAAAAACAATCAACTAAAAATATCGACGCATAACGGAGTTACGTTCAAAACCATAAGCTTACTAGCGGGAAGCTACGAACACGTGGCCATCAACGATTACCTATCCGAATACGCAGGGAGCGTGAACGGCAAAAACAATATCGAATTCGAAGGTAATTTGAATCTGAACAAAATAAAACTGATCTTGAGAAATAACGTTCAAGTCGATTTCAACGTAGAAAATTCGTTGAATGCGTTACTAGGGTTCGATAAACGAATATACGCGCAATCGACATTGGCGCCGCACAAGGCCAACATCGAGAACGACATCGATGTGATCAACATTCACTGTAATTTGATCAACGGTGGATTTTTCAACAAGCACAAACCCCAAATCATATACAGCATACCGACTTTTAAGGTGCCGATCGGATACAGAATTATAGAGAAACCGTCTCAAACGACCTATTTACCAGTCAATTCTTTCATGATCAAAGATATAAATCTGGAAATCAAAGACGGTAAAAACAGGTTCATAGACTTTGGCAACGAAGAAATTGTCATTCAACTTCATTTAAAACAATCTTCATTCTCTTCTTGAATAGTAAGATAATTGAAATCATCAAATTCATAGTTTTCATCAAAACTATACTCATCTTTGTCGTTGTAAGGATACATAATTCCTTCACTGTTTGGTGGTTTTCTTTTAACATTATTCAAATAACTTCTAAAAACTTTAGTTTGTTTATCATTTGGAATAACTACTCCATTGGTGAAACTTTTTTCCCATGGTTTATTAAATTCGTTCGACACATCATGCCCGCTTGCTAACTGAACGTAATCTTCTACACTTATCTTATCATTAGAATAACCTTTAAACGTTTTCTTTTCTTTTAAAACACCATCAGAAGTCAAAACGATGTTGTATTTGACTTTTGGTGCTAAATATAAACCAAATATAATTCCACCGTCACCGTAATCGTTTTTACCTTTGCAATAGTCTTTTTCGGAGACCAAACCAGCTCTGTTTAGTTTTTTCCAATTGTTGGATGAAATGTACAAACTATCGGTATCGGTATAGTATATTTCGGGTTTATAAAATCCATTTATGACGTGAATGAAATTGTTCATTATTTTTTTACTGTGAGATAAAACGAATGATCCCAAATGACTAGGCGTTAGTCGTGTAGATTTACTGTCTTCGGTAGTAATCTCTTTTTCTTCAATTTCTGTTTCAACAATATATTGAGTATCATTAATTTTCTCATAGGTTTTAACACGTGAATCAAAGTTGGCCTGTAAAGTTGCTTCATTCCATAAATGTCTAGTTGTGAATATATCTTTCTGAATTGATTTACCATACAAGGAATTACCTAATAATTTCATGCAGTTACTACCCACGATATTACCTTCTCGTTTATATTTATTTCTTAAATCTCTCAAAATTAAAATATAATCTCTATAGGGTGGAGTTTTAAAATTTTCTTCGTAAACTATACCATCTAATATTCTAATAATTCGTCCACCGGCTTTCACTATTTCTTGAATATCGACCGATGTTAAAACGTCGTGACAGAAACCATTTCTGAACCTGATTTTGTTACCAGTTTCCTTTTTACCTTCTTTATTCGTGAAAGTGATTTTATCTTTAGCTGGTATCGGTTGGAAGAACATGTTTTTGGGATAGTCAAACCACACTGTTAAAATATCTGTTCTAGGTCTGAATTTTTGTTTATTGAAGAGTTTCACAAATTCTTTTTCTTCTTCTGGTAGAAACGGTCTTCCACTTTCCGCTCTCGGATATTCACTGTCTAAATCCGACATGGCGGAAGCGTATAAACCGTTAGCATCAAATGCCATTAGTTTAGTACATTCTATTTTTTTAAGTCTCGAATGAACCTCCGTTTTGTCTTTTGTGCTTGCACTGTATTCTTTGAATAAATCAATTATGTTATTACTTTCTGTGTCACTTCGTGTTTCACTTTGTGAAATATATTCCTTTAATACGTTACAAATTTCATCCATTTTGTTCGTTTCAAATGATTTTCTATTTGCCGAAACTCTTCCTCCTTTAATAGATCGTCTGATAAAATTTCTTATAAAAGGATTAGTGTGCGAATAAACTTTTTCTACGTTTTCTTTTTCGGTATGTTTCGCAACCATTCTAGTAGTTTCATACCATTCTTCTTCCACCATTTCTTTATCGTAATGATATAAATAATACCAACCCTTTAAAGATAAAGATGGAGCCGTTAGATTATTGGACATATTCTGGTTTACAACTTCTTTCGTGACTTGGTTGTATTTTATCAAACAAGCTCCCAAACAGAGAGTGTTTCTCTTGGCGTAAGGTTCCCATTCGTGTCTCAATTCCTCCCAGTTGTCTTGCGTGTATTTAGCGATATCTACGTCGGCAATCTTTCTCAAATTCGCGGGAAAATTGGAAGAATTTCCCCATGCAGCCAAACTAGAGGATTCGTGTTGATAGGAACACGTGAAATTAATATGTTGTAAATAATTACCCTTTATTTCTTTCTGTCTTTTCCATTTTTTCTGTAAATCTTCATCCGTGTATGGATTAGATAAAGGAAAATATAGAATTCCTCTGGGTGTTTTTAAAGGGCAATGCGTTAGTTTTTTTGCATTTTTAAGCACGACCCAGTTGTCGAATCCACTACCGTTATGAGAAATTAATATCAATCTCTTTCTATCATATTGACCTAAATATTACAACATTTGATCTATACAATCTGTACCTACAAATAGTTCTACTACATTCATTAGTTTATCATAAAATTCTTCTGGAAGATTATCAGTAGGATTTATATTTGGAAAGATATTTTTTATCGTTTCTAACTTTTTTCTTAGTTTTTCTAAATTAATTAAAGTGCAGGCATAAGGAATTGCTCTTCGCGTGTCTTTTTCTGAATACGTTTCGCAATCCCAAGCGAATAACACATCATCACTCATACTCGAAAGCACGTTTAGTTTGAGAGGTGAAACCTGTGTTACTGCGTTATCGTCTCTACACGTTTTCCACACCTGTTCGTAATTGTCTTCTATTTCTTCAATTCCCAAACTTTTTTGGCTTCTAATCAGACAGAAATGCGAGTTGTGTAAGTAAAAAACCCAATCTAATTCTTCGTGAACGTCTCTGGGATGAAAATGTCTGTTTTTGGGATTATAAATTTGAAACGAAGTGTTGAATTTCTTGTTGAATTCCTTCATTCTAGCGCAAGTCATCACTCCTTTTCTATTTGCTTTTGAAAACCCGTTGATATATTCTTGAAATTCTCTCGTGTAGTCTTCGTTTAAAACACGATTGACGCATCTGATAAAACAGTGACCATCTGTAGGTATGTAACAATTTTCGCCTTCGTATTCATTGATCTTTTTTAGTAGATCAGTTCCTCCTCTGCCAACTCTCGATCTTTTGATTTCTTGGAAATTGTCTTTCATTAAAATTATTTTTCCTGTAAAATACCAATCGGAAGCATCGGATTTTTTGTCCATATTTGAAAAGATATTGTGAAAGGTTTTGGCATTGAAACCGAGGAGTGACATGTATTGTCTGTGATTCCCTTCCTCGACTATCTCTCCATCTATTTTAATTTGTCCTTTGAATGTTTTAAATTTATCAGAGATAGCCTTGATAACATCGGAAAATAGGGCGTTTTCTATCAATGTTTCATCGTCTGCAAGTTCGATTTTATTCATATTTTTTTAAGTATATATTTTTGATTATTTCTTTATTTTGACCGTTGATATTTCTGTATGGAATTTGTCCAGAATTTCATTGAATTCTTGTAATTCTTCAACTGATATGTTCTTGTCTTCTCTCGATCTTTCGAAAAAGATGTACAATTGATTAAGATACATATTCAAGATATCCATTTTCTTTTTATAATGAGCTTTCTTTTTGCTCGTGAAACCTAAAGTGATGAGACCACAAGAAGTCGTTTGAATGGCTGTTAATGCAGCCAATATGGTTGGGACGATGACCGGAAGCATTAATCCACCAGTCACCGCCGTTGCCACCGTTACTCCTACTGTTAGAACTGTGCTCGCTGCTTGAAAAAAGAATCGATTCTACTCCATGTTTTCCTGCATGTATTGCACTGTCTCAACTTTATTTTCAACTCTTCTTGTTTGTCTATCATGTATTGTTGTCTGCTTTCGAGTTCCATTTTTTAAGTCGTTAAATTAAGTGAATTTCCGATAAATGGAACCACGGAATATCGTATAGAGCGCGCTTGTTTGGCCTAGCATTATTATATTTGCGGGTATTAAAAGTAAAAACATTTACGCGTACTAACAACATTTCTTTTTTCGTATGGTCCTCTTTAAGATGATAGGAATATTTTATTTTTTCTTTTTCGATGTTTATCTTGGCTCTAAAAATAAAACCACCACCTTCAAGGATGGAGTCTTCGGCAAACGATAAATGCACTATAAACTCTCTTTCTTGTTGACTTTTATGAACATTGATCGAGGTGTATTTTTCACCTAAAGCGAAATATAGTTTTACGTATTCAAAGTCTGTTGTTCGTAAAAACTCGTGACTGGTCGATTCTATTTTTCCGTGTACGTGTAAGCGTCGTGGAATTTTGGCAATGTTGGTTGATGGTGGATTTTCCGTCTCCAATATCATATCTAAATCTTTGATTCGAATGATATCCTTATCATTTTCTACTTCCATTTTAAAGGTGTCTACATATTTACCATTTTTCGTTTCAATTTCCTGATCCCTTTTATCAATCAAACGTATATTCTCTTCCAAATTACCATCATTGAATAATGAAATATGTTTGACGGCATTACCGGTTTGTTTGAAGACTACTTTATTGACTTTAACCTTCATGGGAAACTCTATTTGAATCAGACAATTACCTCGAAAAGAATACGTTTTTAGGTTCTCCGTATGCGAGAGTACCCACTTTTATTTCTGCTTTGAATCCGTATTTGTTTGATTTATAAATTTTGTCTTTTTCATCGAAGACAGTGTCACTTTCGAATGGAAGATTGAAATAATACGATTTGTCCGTGACAATTGCTTCTAATTTGGTCAACTTTCTCTCTTGTCTCAAAAAATCGTCATGAATTCTAGATACCAAAAGATTGGCCTGTTCTTTAATATAATTTTTCATATCATCTCGAAATTTATTTTGAAGAAAGTTTTTAATCACACCCACTTCTTTTTCTAATTCGTCCGTGATTTTAGTATCCAAAGCAGTCAATTGTCGTTTCAACGTATCTTTGTCAATGGGAAGTGTGTTAATTATATCTTGAACATCTGATTTTTGCTTCGCGATCTTTTCGTTCAAATCGGATATCGAATTTTGTAACTCGGTTTTGTCCGCGGTCTTGTCTAGTTCTGCTAGCAATTCGCCAAGTTTTCTTTCCAAAGCGGTTAGTTTTCGTTTCAATCTATCCTCGTTTACATTTGGGTTGTCTATTAAACGTTGGACGTCTATTTTTACATTCGTAATCTTATCGTCTAATTTAGATATTAAATTTTGCAACTGACTTGTTTTATCCACTTGAATAAGACGTTTCAAACTCGTTAACTCTTGTTGTAGTTTGGGTTCGTCCACAAGATTTTTAATATTTCGTCTGAGGTATCTTTTCACGTCATTTATTCTATTTTCAACATGGTCCTTATCTATTTGAATTGCGTTTATTTGATCCAGTAAATATTTCTTGTTCACGGCATCGTTATCGTTTCCTGGAAACTTTAAATTAGTTATTTTGAAATTGTTCATATCGATATCCCCTTGTAAGGTGTCTCCGATTTGATCCACGAAAAAAGGTTTCGCTTTTTTTATAAACGCCGTCATGGGATTTTTAGATTCTAGAGGTAAAGACCCTAATCCAAACTTGTTTGCCATTTTTATTGAGTTAAATTTATTATAATTTCTTCAAACTTTTCTCCCAAACTCAACCGATATAAAACCCAAAGCGACAGCTGTCCACACATCTTTTGTCCTGGCATTTAAATTTGAAACGTAGAACATTTGATTGGTTTGCTAGTCAATTTCGTTATCTCTTCTGTCGGTTCTAGACCGAAAGAATCAAAGAAATAAAAGTTATTCGAAGAATCTTTGTGTAAAGCAGAGTGATGAACTCCTTTTTGATCCGAAGTATGAATGTTTGTGATGGCGTAAAATTTACCTTTTTTGTATTTCAGTTCATCAATTTCATCTCGCATGCAATAATAAAACGGCGATATGTTCAACTCCTTGGCCCATTTCACAAGTTGAAAGTTTGTGGTCGTGTCTTTTCCGTATTTATCGAGAAATGCATTCATTTTTTAAGTTGATTTTTTTTAGGTGTTTTTCGAAGTAGGCGGTAAGTATTGCTGAAGACCCAATTGACAAAATATATACGTAGTTTGTGTTTGAAAAAACTTGTATAACATTCTGATAAAACACATTCAATAATATTTTGAAGATAAATTTACATTCAAATTTAAAAAATCTTAATTTAAGAGAGCGTAAATGCTTGTCGACATCTAAATTTCTTAACCTTTCATCTAAATCTTCATTTTCGAGATTCATTTTTAAAAGTCAGTTTTTTGAAGTTCATTTTGATAAAACCTTCCTATGATTTTTTCTTTGTCTTGATTGATCAATTCATACGTGGGAGGTGATGTGTTGTTTATTTTATCAACGATGAATATCTCGTTAGTCCAATAGCCGACGTTACCTTTCTGAAACAATGATTTATATTTAAAAATACGAACTCGATCTCCAACTTTGAATTTGGGTTTAATATTCAAATTGCTAAACTCGTTTTCAAAGTTGTTTCGAGTGTTGACGGACTTTATGATATTCAGGTTATTAGAGGCTTGCGATGGCGTCACACCTATAGACGAATGTATTTTGTTATTGTATTCGTCAACAACAACTGGTAATATTTTAAGCCATTTTTGAGATTTCAATTCCGTGAATTTCTTGAATAATTTGCTTTTAAGAGTCCTGTTGAATCTTTCTATCACTACGGCTTTACCTTCGTTATGCGTGCTGTAAATTTCAAACCCCAGAGATTTCACATTTCTGTTGTAGAATTCGCTACCTTTATCAACCCACAACTTTAGGGGTCGTCTGTCGGATTGTTTCATTATGGTTTCGAATGCTTGTTTGACAGTCAGACCCGATTTGTGTTTCAAGGGAAAGACCCAAGCGTATCTCGTGTATATGTCGATCACCGTCAAACAATACTTGTACCCTCTCTCGACTGGCATGTTGATTAAATCGGCTGACCAAATTTCATCTTTATCAAAAACTTTGACTTTGAGGTAATGTTTGTTTTCTCGAAATTCTTTGTGAATCTCGTCTGCTATGCCCATACCCAATTTCAATTTTGCCTTCAAGAGTTTTATGATAAGAGCCCTTTGTAATTTCTCTTTGAAAGTGGCTTGGTGTCTGAATGTTACGTCTTTGTTTCTGTACAGTATGTCGTGTTGGAGCGCTGCTGCGTCAACTCTATTAACGGGTTCTTCCCCTGGTTTGGATTATCATTTTCGTCTAAACACAGATCTAATCTCGTGCCTGGACCTATATAATTGTGCCCTGGGAGATGTTTTTCTCCGGGATATTTTGCCCATGGGAATCCAGGAAGAGAACCCAATGACATTTGATTGTCTCCCGCACCGAAATACGTTTTAGGAGGATGGACATTTATTAAAGACATATTTGTTCAATAATGAAATAAACACTATATATTTTTAATACGAAAGATTTAATACAAGGAGGAAATTTGTTGTTTGAGACAAAATTGGCCACTTTGGGGATGAGAGATGTTAGCGCAGAGAAGAAATCGTCTCCTTCGAATTTTTTTTTTTCGTGTTTTAAAATTAAAGACATTTTTAATGCGGTTATTTTATACTGTATTATTTTTTAGTGATTCTTGTCTGTGGTTTGGGGTAATTTATAATACAGTTTGGAGGAATCTGTTATGATATATTTTTTTAACAGTTTGGGAAGTCTGTTATAATACATTTTTTAACAGTTTGGGGAAAGTCTGTTATAATACATTTTAATTGTGTCTTTTCGGATATGACGCATTGAAAAAGCTGCGCAGAAGTGAAATGCGTCATATCCGAAAAGACATATACCTGCCATCTCAAAAACCGGATCAAACTGGATGCGCTATATCAGAAAACACATATACTACTGACACAAAAGAGGATACAGATTTCTTCCGATCTTGATGCAACTTAGTATGCATGTATACATTGATAAGATCTCGGTCAAGTTTGAATTTGGCTCGTTTTGGATGAACGGTTTTTTAGTTATTGCCCTTGACTTTCGTAAATTTAGCTTGTAAACACGATAGGGGCTACAGTTTTTATCTGATCTTGATAAAACTTGGTATGCGTGTATATATTGATTAGATTTTATAACAACATGATTGATCATAGAAACTACAGTGTTCAATTTTAATGAAAGAATGTGTATGTTGATGAGACCTTGTTAAAGTTTCAATTTTATGATAATTTATATAGACACAGCTTTATGGAACAACAATCACTGGTTAAAGTTTTATGCAACGTTTCGACGTGTTTCCCCCGTCGTCCTCAGGCCAAGAATGAACCCTATCGAAAATCAAAAAAGTCGAAAAATTTGAATACGAGTTATGGCACTTGTTCTTCAAAACGCGTTCGAATTTTAGCTCGTAAACACTCTAGAAGGCACAATTCTAGGCGGATTTTTATGAAACTTGGTGTGAATGTTTGTTATCACCCAAGAATGAACCCTATTTAAAATATTTAAAATCAGAAGAATATTTAGTATGAGTTATTGCCCTTGTTCTTAAAAACGCGTACAAGTTTAAGCCTGTAAACACCCTTATAGAAGACACAATCTGGATAGATTTTGATGAAACTTGGTAATATTATCCAGTATCGCCTCAAACAATTCAAAAGAAGTGGATGTCTGAAGGTTGAATATTTCATACTGGTAATTGTCACTGTACTGCCAAATATTTTTATTTAAATTCAAAACTGCCAGTAGGTGTATATTACCTTGCCTGGCAAGCTATCTTTTTATGAGGTATTATACATTATTTCTTTGACAGATTTTGATGAAACTTGGTGTGGGTGTTTGTTATCACCCAAGAATGAACACTATTTAAAATTAAAAAGATCGAAAAATAATTAGTATGAGTTATTGCCCTTGTTCTTAAAAACGCGTTCAATTTTATCTTGTAATCACTCTAGAAGGTTCAATTATTGGCAGATTTTGACGAAATTCGGTGTAAATGTTTGTTATAACTCAAGGATGAACCCTATCGAAATAAAAAAAATCGCGAAATATTTATTATGAGTTATTGCCCTTATTCTTGAAAATGCGTTCAAGTTTTAGCCTGTAAACACTCTAAAAGGCCCAATTCTTGACAGATTTTGACGAAACTTGATAATATTATACAGTATCGCCCCAAAATGGTGAAAAGAAGTGAAGACTGAGGGTTGAATATTTCATACTGGTAATATTGTTACTGTACTTCCAAATCTGTTTATTTAAAATCAAAGTTGCCAAAGCTATCTTTTCAACTCTTTACTCTCAACTGAATCAATGATAAATGTTAAATATTTCAGGTTAAAAGTTAATATCAGAAACACTAAGCAATGTCTTCATGAAATTATCATTGGTCGTAAAAAATTGCTGACAATTTTATCAAAGGAAAGAGTGGAGTTTGATAAATTAGCCGGTGATGTCCAAATTTGTAAGATTACTGGTGGAGTCGCCGGTACTGTTGGAACTGGATTGGTTATTGGTGGATTTGTTGCAGCTTTCTTTACATTTGGCATATCCCTAATAGTTTCAGGCGTCGGTGCTGGGATTGGAGCTTCTGGCGCTATAGTAGCATCTGGTGCCTCAATTGCTGATTCCGTTATTAGTAAAAAGAAGCGAAAACTCATAAATGATTTTCTAGAAGAGGATGCAAAACTTATAAAAAGATTTGAGAGTCTCTGTGAAGATTTGAAGATTTCACTTTATGTTTTAAATATTGCCAAAACCGTGGCACTGACAGTTAAAACGATAGTCACAAATGCGATCCGCTTTGCAAGAGTTGCCGACGTAGCTGTTGATGCAAGTCGCACAGCCTTTGGAGTGCTTCGTGGAACTGCCAAAGGTTTTGCTATTGCTGGGGTCGTGTTTTCAGTCATATCTCTTCCGTTTGATATTCATATGGTTGTGACTAATTCTATTGCCAAACACAAGGGAGACAAGCATAAAATATCTGAGGAATTGCAAACTTTTGAAGAAAATATTCAAGAAGAATTGGTTTCTATGGAAGACATGATGGCTGAATTTGAAATTGCCGAGAGAAAAATTAATGTATTATAAATTGAGCTTTTAGTAGACCATTTGGTTTATACTTTATTTTTGTCAAAAAACGTCATTTATTATCTAAAACGACTAATTTAATCTTAATTTTGTCCACCTGTAGGCTACATGAAAAGTTTAGATAATTGAGACATATTAATTACAGCCTTTCTGGCATCCATTCGCTTGGAATAATTTTTAATCAACACATAGGTCGAGATAATACCTTCAGATTTTTCAACCCAGTTTCCCCGTCCGTGATATATGTGACAGGGTCTGATATATATATGTTCCGATTGAACAGTTAAACCGAGGTCGCGTCTGCTGTATAAGCTTACGTTAAAGAAATACGATATATACCTCTTATAAACATTAAAGTCTCAAACTTCGCCAATATGAGCATATATTCATCATTTTGACTTTCCAAGTGACATGACTAAACAATACAATCTCTATCTAATTAAACTGAGCAATTATTAAAAAAAACGCGTGTTTCAAAATAAGTTAGTTTAATGGATTATTACTTAGTTTTATGGAACTGGGACTCTAAGTCCACTGATGAACAAAGACTTATTTTGGTTTAATTTTTTGGTCATCCTAAGAGGTTGTATACCTTTAAAGATCCTCGACAGGTGGCAATCAAAAAAGAGCAGGATAATGCGGCTGTCCTGGCAAAATTTCCCCCATTGTCTCTTCATGGTGTTGTCCGTTTCCATTAGCTCAAAAAACAGAAAAGTAGGACGTTGATTCCATTTCATTTCAGTTTTAGAATAATGCATTTTTACGCCGACTATTCTACATATTTTGATATGACCTGAATTTATGTAGTTATAAAATTTTCAGACATTAACTTGGTTATTGCCCTTAACATAACAAAATCCCAATAAGCATAGTAGCTTTATATTGTTTCGGTTTATTATCATAGTCTATGTAAAATTTTATGTTAACCATTTTAGATTGTTTCTTTGATTTAGCTTATTTAAATTAGCATTACAACACATATAGTTGAATTTGTAGTAAAATGGTATGTGTAACTCTTCAATTACCAAACCATGTATTAAAAAAATCATTTGCATGCATGTAACTATGTTTTTTTCCTTTCATTTCTAACTTAAGCTTTCTGTTATTCTTGTTTCTGACAATAGTAATTAAAGAAGGCGATTTATCTCCCTTCAGTCAGCACTGATAGACATGGCAAGAGACGAGGAATATAAATGTTGTATAAAAAGTTCGTATCATAGCGATTGCGAGATGCTTGCATATATTATGAAGAAGTCCTATAGAACTTGTCTCGTGTTGAGTGAATTTGAATCCAGTTGCAACAACAAACCATAGATTTAAATTAAAATTAAAAAGTTTTGGCTGAAAATGGGTCACTGTAAAAACAAATTTTGAAGACATAATGTGTGCTTATGTTTATATTTTTATCAAAGCAAAGACATTTTAAGACTAACAGTACTTATTTTGGGGCAAAGCACAATAGACACTTCTCAGGCAATAGTTTGCCTACAATTGCTATGATATTATTTGCGCTCTTTAGTTTAAACATTATTTTTATACGCCCACATGAAAATGGGGGACGTATATTGCCATCACCCATGTCAGTGCGTCGGTCCGTTGGTCCGTCCGTCCGTCGACAATTGCTCGTAAACACTCTACAAGGCACAATTCTTGACTGATTTCGACGAAAATTAATATAGTTGTTTGTAATCACCCTAGAATGAACCCTATTGAAAATCAGAAAAATCGAAAAATATTTAGTATGAGTTATTCTTAATCTTCTAGAGATTTCACGAACTAAAGATTGAACACGTTTTCAAGAACTTGGGCAATAACTCAATCTCAAAATTATTTAGTATCGCCCTAAAGAGTTCAAAAGAAGTGTATAACTGAAGGTTGAATATTTCATACTGGTAATTGTTACTGTACTTCTAAATATTTTTATTCAAAATCAAAGCTGCCAGTGGGCGATTATTACCTTGCCTGGCAAGCTATCTTATATAGTTTGGGGAGCAGACAGTGATTTGAATTTGATTTAAGATCAAATAAACAAGATGCACTACTAAGGAAAATATACAAGGTTATTAGAACCAGCATACAGGGACCATGGGTAAGATACAGGATTCACCAATATACAAATATACAATATCCACTAACTATGCTGAGTTTACCCACAGGATATGTAGGCACGATCAGTAAAATAGGGTAAATATACAAGATTCACAACGAGGGTGGGTAAACACGATCTGCAACAAGGGTCAGTATACACGATCAATGGACTTGGGATGGTATACAAGGTTCACGACTGGGTTAGGTATATACGATCCGCAACTAAGGTAATTATACAAGATCAACAACTAAGATAAGAATACAAGATGAAACAACTGGAGTAAGTATACAAGGTTCACAACTAGGGTAAGTAAGCACGATCCGCAGTTATGGTAAGTATACAAAGGGTAAGTGTACAAGAATCACAACCAGGGTCAGTATACACGATCAACAAGATTCACAACTAGGATAGGTAAATACGACCCGCATCTAAAGCCCCGTTTATACGACCACGTTTACTTATATTACGTAAGTATATATACTCACATAAGTAAAAGTGGTCGTGTAAACGCTTTTGCTTACGTAAGCAAATATACTCTAGGAGAATATGTGGTCGTGAAAATGCAGTTCATTTAGATACACCAAACAGGTTCCAAAACTCTGCAGAACTAGCTAGCCAGTACACAGCTATGCTGGGCCTATGGTCCAACTCAATGGGGTCTTTGACATAAAACTCTTTAGTTGGCAAATAGGGTTTAATTTCCTCACAGAGAAAATAGAATATTTTGTTTTCTCATACGAAAATTCTCTACCCACATTGTATCATCTGGAGATCCTTTCACAATCGTAACCCACCAGTACTGAGAGCGTGGATTCCTCCACGCCCTCATCTTTCGACATAATCCCATGACTAATCCCATACCCAGGAAGTAGAGAACATCTCTCCTGCGTATTTGTAGGACAAGCCTCATCGCTGACATTTTCTCAAATGACCATGTCATGCGTTTAACAGGAAACCTTATTTATTCATGTCTGACATAAAACACCTGCACTCTATTACATTATTTGCGCTCTTTAGTTTAAACAGTATTTTATCTCTATTGTACATTAATTATGACGCTCTTTGATCTGGCCCTTTATCATTATAAATTACGTCCTTAAGTATCCAGCTTCATTCACGTATATACAACAAGGTGAGAAAGTTGCTCAAGTTGGACGTTCTGAGAAAAGGTTAGAATATTATTTCATCATATTTGAATGGGTAAAAGAGATGCCACTAATTATTTGATATATTTAAATAAATAAAAATATGAAGGATTAGGTTGAATTAAAATGATGCATCAATTTACTGCCATTAAGGGGTGTGTCATGAATACTTTAGCCTTTATTGGGCAATATGATTTTAGTGTTCGTTTGATGCAATGAATAATTTGCATGAATTTAAATATCAACATTAAATAGTACTAAGACTCTTAGATTATAGTCTTTAGGTTAATTAGGGTTATTTTTATTGGTCCCACAGAAATTATAACTTATAATTATAATCGTCACGTGATCATGTGATTCTGGTTGTACGCTTATCAGTGCATAGTCGTTCAGGACTACAAAAGTTTGTAAACTTATTTAGTTTGTAAATGTATTCAAAATTAATATAGAGTTATGATTGGTCAACCGCGAGTCACGTTCAAGTAAGTGTTAGATTGTCCCCCTAAAAGCTCTAAAGCCAGGGACTATAATATTCAAATCGCAATATTACTATCACTTGACAAATAGTTGTGAAATGTCGGACATAAATGACTAATAATAAGCGAATCGGATGACCAATATGTAAATGGCTAATCAAGAACAGATCAATGCCATGAGGTTTGTCCCAGAACATGGTAGTAAGGCATTCGGCACAAACTTCATCAATTTTCATTAGTTCGTGAGTTGAACATTGACTCGGTCGAAAGGACTGACATCTTAACCGGCAACATTTGCGAAGTTTGGGCTGAATGCGAATACTGCGACAAAAGATGTCTCGGTGTCAGAGACAAGAAGTACAACTTTCAGATACTCCAATTTTTAGATAGAAATTAAGACATTTACATAAATAAAAATTCACACCCGAAATACCGCATCATTAACCTTTAATGAGTCCATCAAAATAAGATAATTTCTTTAAAGTCTCCGTGCACCGCATGGCTACACCCCAGGGGTAAGGTTTCCCTTCGTACAATGCCAATATGTATGGTGTAGTCTATTCGATTATATTTCACATATAGCAGTTTTATTTATATAATTGATTAATTTCGATTTATTTTTAGCAATGACAGAAGAAATACGTGTTGTTATGTTAGGCAAGACTGGAGTTGGTAAAAGTTTATTAGGTAACAACATTCTTGGGAAAGATATATTTTCTTCCAAAGTAGGGGCTCAGTCCTGCACAAAAGAACTTACGCGAGCAGAACGGATGCTCGACGAATATTATAAACTTGTTCTTGTTGATACTCCAGGCCTTTTTGATACTTCTACAAACAACATGGGAACAGCTAAAATTCTCGTGAGAACAGCGAAAGAGAACAGACCAGGTCCACATATTTTTATTTTTGTCTTATCCATCGGTCGGTTTACTATCCAAGAACTGGAAACTGTTGAATTACTGAAAGATTTGTTTGGAAATCATTGTTTTCACAGGAAAAGATACTCTTGATTTCTCTAAAGTAGATCTCGAGACATATTTATAGTGCAGGCGATGATCTGAAATCTATTGTCAGCCAGTGTCAAGGGAAGATGGCTATTAACAACTGGGCATCTCTTGAAGTAGTTACTGAGAGCGTAGATAGTTTATTACAGATGATTAAAGACGTTTTTCTACAGAATAAGAAACAACACTACACAGATGAATTATTGGCTGACGCAGAGAAGAAATTTGAAGAGAAACTGCGTAAACAGTAGGAAGAGGCCCACAAGAGAGAAAGAGAACTTGAAGATAGAAACAGCAAACTGGAAGCTGAACTGCAACATCAGAAAGAGTCACAATTAAAACAATCTATCAACAATAGTCAAAGAGAATTTGAGAAGAATGTACAGTTCCAGAAAGATTTACAGAAAATGCGAGATGAGAAAGAAGCAATTATGAAGCAAATGGACGATGAAAGCAAACGAAAACAACACAGTATTGAACAGATAAAACAATACAATCAAGATGTTATTAACGAGATAGAAAGGTCTAGGAAAGCGGATCAAGAAAAGGCAGAGGAAGAAATCCTTCAACTGAACAATCGTTTAGAGAACTTGAACACCACTATTGAGTAAGTCATCATTATGCAGTAGTTATTCATCTCCAAACAATAGGCTAATCATCATTTTCTACAGCCAGACAAGAATAAATCATTTACCAACTGCTGGTTATTCTGCTTAGATCAAATATCAGTTACCATACAATACCTGCCCCCATATATCAAATACGAGCTATTATATTTATATCAAATACCAGCTATCATATTTATATCAAAAACCAGATATCATAAATCAAATACCAGCCATCATCAATATAAAATACCAGTAATTATATTTATATCAAATACCAGTCATCATATTTATATCAAATACCAGGTACCATATTTATATCAAATATCAGCTATCATATATAAAATACCAGCCATCATATTTATATCAAATACCAGCTATCATATTTATATCAAATACCAGCTATCATATTTATATCAAATACCAGCTATCATATATCCAATACTAGTCATCATATTTATATCAATTACCAGTTATCAAATGTCAAATACCAGTCATCATTTTAAAATCAAATACTAGCTATCATATTTATATCAAATACCAGCTATCATATTTATATCAAATACCAGCTATCATATTTATATCAAATATCAGCTATCATATTTATATCAAATACCAGTTATCATATTTATATCAAATAACAGCCATCATATATCAAATATCACTATCATATATCAAATATCACTATCATATATCAAATATCAGCTATCATATTTATATCAAATATCACTATCATATATCAAATATCACTATCATATATCAAATATCACTATCATATATCAAATATCACTATCATATATCAAATATCACTATCATATATCAAATATCAGCTATCATATTTATATCCAATATCAGCTATCATATTTATATCAAATACCAGCTATCATGTTTATATCAAATATCACCTATCATATTTTTATCAAAAACCAGCTATCATATTTATATCAAATACCAGCCATCATATTTAATCATATTTACATCAAATACCAGCTATCATATTTATATCAAATACCAGCTATCATATTTAATCATATTTATAGCAAATACCAGCTATCATATTTATATCATATACTGGCTATCATATATCAAATACCAGCTATCATATTTATATCAAATACCAGCTATCATATTTATATCAAATACCAGCTATCATATTTATATCAAATACCAGCTATCATCATATTTATATCAAATATAACATATATCCAATACCAGTACCTATGGCCTTATAAAGGTCAAGGTCACGTACGAGATCAAAATTACAAAACTTAATAGAAACTTCAACCGAAAGTTGCAAAAAAGCAAAAGTGAAATTCAAATATCGGCTTCCTAGTATTTGTTGGCAATCGTTTACAGATTACATACACATAAAAATTATACACGTCCAATTCTTCGCTGAGGCCCCATTTTGAGTTATACACAAGTGTGTCATATCAATATGGCGGCCAAAGAATCACTTCCGGTCTAGATTTTAAAATTAAACTAGAAGTTATTCAACCGGAAGTTAAAATCAATTTTACGTTTAAATCAGAAGTGAAGCTAAAAATTTGACTGTGTACCATTTTGTTTAATTTAGTAATCTGTGAGACAATGGAACTAAGTTGCTTCCCTTGATTGACTCCCTAGTCGAAAGAGATAGACTTGCTTGATTACGTCAGCCTTACGTTTGCTTTTCTAATGTTTACATCATAATATTGTCTCTCTGTAGTCTTGACGATGTGTGCTAATAAATCTTAAAACTTACTCTTCATCGAGCATAACATGGCGCTGCGACAGTTTTACACGCCATCGTCGTCCAAAAGACAGTACAATTTTACAAAAAAGTGAGTTAATTTTTGAGTGAAAAAACTTTGTTGACAACAATCGGAAAATCGACGCCATATTTGTTGTTATTGTGAAATCATGGCGGGCCATGTACAAAATCAAAATGCTGACGCTCCACAAGCTGAAGTACCACAGATAAACGTTCCCTATCCTCTTCACAACAAAATCCAGTTTGGCCTTCTACCGGACAAAGTTGATCTTTCAGTAGACAGGTGAAAATATCAAAACTTGGAAAGAAAGTTCGGATATTTATGCCGATGTCAACAACATAAATTTCTTTATTGAAAGAGGCCTTAGAGACGAATCATCAAAATTCTTACTCACAGATGCTCAAAGAAGACAGGCTAACTAAATATTGCATGCTCTAGAAATTTATGCCCAAGGAAACCTCAACGAAGTTGTAGTAACATTTCATTTTAACACTCGCGAACAGGCAGTGAATGAAACTTTTGATGATTTTCTTACGGAAGTCAAGGAACTTTTAAAAACTTGCAATTTTTCTTGAGGATCTTCAGCATCGCCTCATACGTGATACTGATAGAATCATCATAGGCATAAACAGCAGTGATGTTCGTAAACTTCTTCTAGCCAAATCTTCTGCATTAACTCTAACAAAAGCAATCGACATTTGCCGTTCACAGGAGTCGTCAGCTCAGCTCAGCAAGTTTCCGAGATTGGAGGATGCAATGGTATTAATCGTGCCTCGCGCTATCAGAATGCCAAGACTAAAGCGAACCCACCTTACAAGATTAAATCTCATATACCCACAGCTAAAACTCCCAGGACTTATGACTGTAAAAAGTGTTTAAAAATCACTCTCCACGTTAATGTCCTGCCTACGGTAAAACATGTTCCATGTGTAAATGTATGGGTCACTTCAAGAACAGTCCACACTGCAAAAGCGTACAGACGGTCAGATATATCCGATCCACTATTTTAAGGACATCCAGTCATGGTGATGATGAGTTTATTGTAACCATCCGAATTAACCAACGACCATTTGATGCCTGTCTTGACACAGGGTCTGTCGTCACGGCTTTGGGAACAGATACTTTTTGATCTACTGGTCTCACTGCACAACTATCTCCACCAGATCGACCCTTACTTGGAGCAAATAATGAAAATCTACAGTGTGAAGGATACTTCGATGCCAGCATAACAGTCTACAACAACGCCATACAACAGAGAATTTATGTCATGTAGGTATGGTTGGTGTTATACTGGGTCGACCAACATTACGCACGTTAGGACTCATCTCAGTAGATTGGATCAAATCCGTAACGTCGCATGGAAATACAATTTCGCATGAACTTAAGGCTACATTGGTGAGATCATATCCAAGTGTTTTTGATGATCAACCTAAGGACATGGAAGGTGAAACTTTAAAGATGCAGTCGACTTCAGATTCGAAACCTTTTTCAGTTCATACACCTCGCAGAATTCCGATTCCACTTAGAGATAAACTGAAACAAAAGTTGGATGATATAGTGCAACAAGTTGTCATCAGTCCCGTTACGGAACCTTTGAATGGTGCCACCCCATTGTTGTCATACCAAAAAAGAATTCCACAGATATCCGCATGTGTATAGACCTTACCAAGCCCAACAAGTCAATAGTGCGTGAGCGTTACCAATCAGTTACCCCTCACGCAGCTGCCTCATCTATTCCATCACAAGAAGCTAGTAGCTTTAGTAAAGTAGATGCATTGACAGGCTATTGGCAATATAAACTCTCTGAGCATTTAACCACGTTCATTACTCCCTTTGGACGGTATAATTGTCTCAAGGCACCTGATGGTATTAGTAACATATCGGAACATTACGATAGACGCGACCTACAAGGAGTCGTCAAAATAGTTGATGACATTGTCATTGTCAATTTGGTGTACACTGAGTACAATTTTGCGGTGACATCTTGAGATCCAACGGATATGAAATCAGTCCAGAATTGACTAGAGCCGTGAAAGACTTTCCAAGATCTGGCAATATTACTGATGTTCGTTTATTTTTTGGATTGGTAAATCAACTAGCAGATTTCCCTCTGATACAGCTGATGCTATGCAGCCACTACGTCTCTGAAACCCAAGAACGAATTCGTTCGGAATCAGGAACAAGAGGACAGCTACCAAAGAACTGCTAACGTCAACTCCGGTCTTAGCTTATTTCGACCGATCAAAACCATCCCAATTGAGAGTAGACGCTTATGGTTTAGACCTAGCTCTTACACAGACTCAAGATGATGGAACGTGTCGCCTAATTCAAGCTGCTTCTAGATTTGTTACACCAACCGGTATGCCATGATCGAGATTGAAGCCCTCGGTGCTGCCTGGGCAGTGAAGAAATGCCACATATTTTTACATGGATTACCACACTTTGATCTCATTATTGCCAGTGGTCCTGAAATTGAACGTCATCCGTCAGATCCAGTTCCAGTTCAAAAGAAGAGAGAACACAGGACTATCAGTTATGGGAGACGAATTAGGTAACCAACTAGATTCAAAGACTTTGTGACAGATTATCAGTGTCCATTTCAAAAGTGCATAATAATCTGGGTTTTAAATAAACCGTCAGTCTTAGGTTTGCTTTCCTGATGTTTACATCATATATTTTCTCTGTAATCTTCACGATGTGTGCTAATAAATCTTAAAACCTACTCTTCATCGAATATAACATAATCTATCTTTGCGCCTAAAAATTTTAATTAATCGAAGAAAGCAAATATTGCAAAATTCGGCCGAAATGAGTCTCTGGTAATGTGCAAATATCGACTTGGCAAAAATGTTCCAATTTATATTCATTAACAACGTTGCCACTACAGAAGGTCCACAATTGCAGCTGATAAAGGCTTAGCTGTGTGCCCTCTGTAAAAATCGAAAAAAAACTAGAGCCACACGTGGCACACAGTAGGACTTTGCTAATGTGGCAAATTGCAAGAGTCTGAAAAAAATCAACCTTCTGGGTTAATTAAGCCACGTGCCAGAACTGTCTAAAGTTATGACATTTTATGTCTTTGGAAGGTTATGAAACCGGAAGTAGACGTCAGACAACAGAAAGTATCAATCAACAACCTCTGACCTTGTAAAAGGGAATGTCAACAAAGGTCAAGGTCACGAGATATTCAGTCAAGTTTTCAAAATGCATACGGCTATTTAACCGGAAGTTGTCATTAGACTTCAATTACAAAGGTATGAATCTATAATTAAGGTCAATGACCTTCGATCCTAAAAAGGTCAAGGTCAATCAAGTTCAATGTCAAAAATTGAAAATATGGAATTTCCAAAACCCGTTCCTTTTTTTTTAACTATAAAGCTGAAACAATTGAGCTTTTAACACAAATTGGCCAAATGGATGACTTAAATTTTTAAAAAATTTCAATTTTGCATTAAAAAACTATTATTGTATATAACTGGAAAGAGCAGGTAACGTGCTAGAGCAGTCCAAAGTTGAGAATTTGGCTGTTTTTGGACATCCATAATACCGGAAGTAGATGTCAAATATGAAAGTATTAGCTGATAGTCAAAGTCAATGAACTTTGACCCAATAAAGGTCAAGGTCAAACGTCTTATCTTCTTCGTTTTTTTTCATAACGTTGGCTATCGATTTTTATAAGTTTCGTCGCGCTAAATTAATTACACCGGAAGTGAGAACCGATTTCCGGTTTAAACCGGAAGTAAAGTAAAGAATTTGACTATACAATTGTCTTCATTTCGTTGAACTGTCTTTGCTCAATTTATTTTAGATTACTCAGACAAAAAGCAATGAAGTTTTTAATAACTACATGTCCGTTGCCACTACAGAAGGTCTACACATGTAGAAATGTTGCTGCAGCTGTTGCGTTGCAGCCTTTGCTTGAACAGGTGTGGAAATTTCGATAACAAAAAGAATTGACATTTCGATAACAAACTGGGACTTTGAGGAAGCAAAATCCCACAATTAGCGTTCATTATCCTGTTGTTGAAAACTGAGATTTTTATTCTTCTTGAAGGCTGTAACAACTGTTTAGGTATAAACAGGTATTTCTCTTGCAGAGCTTTATAGAGTTTATTCACTGGTCGCACTATGATTATAGGTAGTAATGAAGAGGATTATGTGGTTACCGTGCTGTAGATTTAAACCATGATTCTGATATACTGTGTCCAGCTTGTCCATCCAATAGCTCTTGCGCTATAATCTTCTGTTTTGATTTAATGTTAAGCATCGGCTCAACAGTCTCGACTACCAAGTCTTCAATGGAGTGGTCGGGGAGGTTAAAATGATTCGCAATCGGTCTGTTTTGTCATGTACGACATCGTAGTGATGGCCATTAAAGCGGTTTCTCAACATATTTTTAGTTTCGCCAACATATTGGACGTTAAAAATAAATTAGGTATATTACATTTTGGTCAATGCAAGAAAGTAGGTCACTGAAATGAAAATTTTAGCTGGTGTTTTTGATTTGAAAATAATGAGAATAGGTACATGATCGCAGTTACGACACGCAGAACCTCCACACGGTATTGATCCAAAGTCATTAAAAGGGTGTGATCATCTGTTTGGGCGTAGGCAACAACGTGTTTTTAATTGTAAAGTTGAAACATCTGAGAAAAAATGAAATTTATACGAGTTGTAAAAAAAGAGAAAAATCACTTCAGTTTTTCATTTGAAATTTTTGTTTGAAAAGCACATTTAGAATTAAAGAATTAACCCTCTAGGTGAATATTGTCACGTGCTTTAGCAGTCCATATTGTCAAATTTGGTTGTTTTTGGACAGCTATAAAACGGGTGTCGGACTTCAAATGTCAAAGTATCACCTGATAGTCAAGGTCATTGTGGTCAAGGTCAAAGGTCAAGGTCATGAGATATAAGCCTTTAAAAAATTTCAAAAAAGCTAAATCAAAAGTACAACATTTTTCTCTATTTTCTATGCTCCTCAAAATCAGATAAACCGATGCAGGATACCGATCTGCATAAGTTTGGTTGACATAGCCTATATCAATTACACCGAAAGTTAAAACTGATCATAGTTTGAAACACTAAACCGTTTATTTTTTTTTGTCTGTAAAATATCATTTATTTCATACCACACTGGAAAAATGTCTTTAATATGATATCGAAATCAGTACTTTTACAATGCTGCTAGAATATGAATCCAAGATCTCAATGGTAAAGCAAAGCCAAGTTGAAAATTGATATATTTTAAAAAACAAAAAATCGAAAATGCTGTCTCCATAATAGTTATTTAAAAAAAAAACAACAACTTGGTGCGCCTACTTCAAACTCATCACATTTGCTATCTAATGGCCCCACCATACTGGAAGGCGTTCTTACTGCGCTAATACTTCGACAGAAAATTGGCTCAGAGCGTGTTTAGGTCGCTATAAGCGTGGTATGAGCGTGTAGGACACATCAGACATCATGCAATTGTCGCCACATATTCGCCGAGTCGCAGCATTTGTTTTGGATTTGTTCAAAACTAACGTCAATGTTCGGCGATCTGTTTTTGAACGCGTTGAGAATGCCACGGGATCGAGACGGTCGTCTCAAAGGCGTTGTAATATCTCCTATCTGAGCAGTATAAAAGTGCAGTACACATGTGGCAAAGAAGCTGCAAAAACCTTAGAACGCAATATGGTCGTATAACTATATATGTTTTCAATTTTTAAATTTCTTAAAGACGTAATAACCTAGAAAAAAACTCGGGCCGTCATTATTGCCAATTGCAGAATATATTTTCAATGTTAAATGTTTGATTTTTCAGATTTAAGTACAAAGTTTCAGAATCCAAGAAATGTCTTAGTAAAAGCATTCATGGTCGTCGAGAACTGCTGACAATTTTATCAGAGGAAAGAAAAGCGTTAGATAAATTAGCCAGTGATGTCCAAATTTGTAAGATTTCTGGTGGAGTCGCCGGTACTGTTGGAACTGGATTGGTTATTGGTGGATTCGCTGCATCTTTCTTTACATTTGGCACATCCCTTATAGTTTCAGGCGTTGGTGCTGGGGTCGGAGGTTTTAGCACTTTAGTAGCATCTGGTGCCTCAATTGCTGATTTTGTTATTAGTAAAAGGGAAGAAAATCTAATAAATAAGTTGCTAGAAAAGGACGAAAAATGTTTGGAAAAAATTCAGCATCTTTTTGAAGATTGTAATTTTTTATTTCATGTTTTAAGTCGTAACAAAAACGCAGAACAGGGAAATCAGACGATAGGCCTAGTCAAAAATCTGATCGGCTTCACAAGAATCACCGATGTAGCTATTGTTGTTGGTCGCTCAGCCTACGGACTGGTCCGCGACGCTGCCAAATGTATGTCTATTCTTGGGGTCGTATTTTCAATCATATCTCTTCCTATAGATTTTCACACGGTTGTGACCAATTCTATGGCCAAACACAAGGGAGACAAGCATAAAATATCTGAGGAATTGAAAAATTTTGAAGAAAATATTGAAAAAGGGTTGGTTTCTATGGAAGCCATGATGGCTCATTTGGAAAATACCGAGAGGGCAATAAATGCATCATAAACGGAGCTATTAGTTGACGAAGAAATTGGACGTATAATGTCCGTAAGTCACATACAGTATATACTCATGGGTATTTCTAAATTAGAGAAATTAGTTCAGGCTCTAAACTTTGATAGTATACTTTAAATTGTGAACATTATAGAAACGTTTGGTCAAAAACTTTTATCTTCTTATACAGTCAAGTAACCTAAGTTCGTGCTAACCTATTTTTCGTACATTTCCGGAAATGATTAATAATGTACATGTGCCTCCTCGCGTGACCTCCGCATTTGCTTGTTTTGATAAACTACAATAACAGCTAGTAGAATGAATCCAGTAGTTTCAAGCAAGGTAAAATGTATTAATGTATACTTTGACAAATACAAAATGGCGGATTTAAATTATTACCAAACGTCACAATTTTTTATTGGCCGAATTTCCTAATAATCTCAATCTGTAATCGGAATTCCATGAGTCGTCTGCTAGAATGTAGTCCAACGAATGAAGTCACGTGATCAACTAGCGGATTCCGTGTCAGCAGAAAAATTCTATGGAACACAAAGTGGGCTATATTCTTATGTTGTTTCAATGACTTTTAGCAATAAATCACGCTACGTATCTTATTTTTTCAGTCACTATTTTTTTTTTTTAAATCATGGTTCTTTAAAGAATTGTCACTAGTTATAATGAATTGATAGGCCTATTAAAGATAAATACTAAGAGAAGTTAATTTTATCACTGGGCATCCATACAACGTTTTTTTCTCGACTTATTTATAAGCCTATTAAAGATAAATACTAAGAGAAGTTAATTTTATCACTGGGCATCCATACAACGTTTTTTTCTCGACTTATTTATAGATCAAACCTTGTACACGAGAATAGTGACGCATTTTGCGTTGGTTACTCATGAAATATAGGTCAAAGTGAGAGATTCATAAAGAAAATCGAAACAATCCAATTTTAATTATTTTGTAGAATATCTGAGGAAACATCTAAAACATAAAAAAAAAAATCCGTTTTTTTAACTTTGACGAAATTCCGTGTTGAATCTTTATATACACGAAAATAGGTTACACTACTGTAATATATGTTTTTATATTCGTAGAATCTGTAAATATCTGTCATTAGCTGATTAAGTAGTACGTCTTTAACTACTAAACATAGTGTTACTATTACTTAAAAATAAGGTAAATGAACTTGAATTTTGGGAATAGAAAAAGGATAGAAATAATGTGAATGGGAATAAAAATTGCTGTAGAAAAAGGTTGTTACTGAGGGCTTCAAAATTTGCTGCTGAGGGTTTTAAATCTTCTGAAGAAACCTACAAAACTCTGTATGGATTGGCACACAAACTAAACGAACACCATTTCTCATGGACTATTATGTAAAATCGGTAAGAATGATTTATGATTCCTGTATAAGACATTTTTAACAGCAAAAACATCAGTCGTGGGTGTCATGATCGGATGATGATTAGTAAAGTTATAACAGTTTGTTTACACTTTGGAAGTATGATATTTAATGTATTACACATTCCAGATATATAATCTGTTAAGATTTGCTGAAACCACAAATGGGTTAAACTATAAGGAAGTCATTATCTTCAGAAATCGGACAGAAAATTGG